TTTACACACATCTAATGCAACCAATAATGATACATTATAATTGGAAATTAATATTTTGATGCTTGAGTTGCCGGTTTCAAAGAAGGCCTTCATTTCATATTTAATTTTTTAGAAATGTTTCTGTATGCTATACATCTTATAAGATCAGTTCCAACTTTTGGGTGTCTCACACTGAGCATCACTTAGTGAACTGTATCTAAATTTCTGCCAGCTCAGATGTCAAGGATTCTGGTGATTGGCTTATGTGCTAGAGATATAAATTCTTGTGAATGCTTTATTCCTTCTATTGGTTTAAAACAAGCTATTATGAAAGTTATTATTCAAAATGCTTTGGGAATTATACTGAAATCTGATAGCCTGCCTATGTGATATTAATAGGCCAGCTTTCCAAACACAGAAGATCTGCCTATAGTCAGTAATATAAAAGGATGCAGCATTCTTGAACTCTGAAAAGTGTTTTAAATAGCAATAAGCTCTTCCACATGCATCAGTTCATCCCACAAATACACTTACTACTTATGCTGACATTCTTTGCAAGAGCATCAGGTCAGGATTTCACACACCATCTCTTTGACAAATCTGGAACATAATCCCAGCCAAAGAATCCAGTAAAGACGTATTTTCAAAATTTTGAGTAGTTTCTTAGGAAGCCTTTCACATCTCTCCCTTTCGAAAAGCTAATAATTGGTAAGACAACCCTTGAGTTCTGCAGTGGACAAACATTATCAGCTGTCAGTCTTGCATAGATGTGCCAACATGTCTAGGGCAGAGAGGAGAGGAATTTATCTGCAGCTCTTAAAAAATGATAAGATACTGACTTTCAATTATTCTGTCTTAAGTTCAGAGTTATGTCTAAACAAATCTCTTTCCCAGCTGTTGGCCAATTAAAACTACATCTGGACATATTGCATCCTCTGTGACTGGCACAAGAAATGTCATGATTGGCTCCATGTTGTTGTTTTTAAATTAGGACTGTGTTGCAGTTCAGGTTCAGTTCATAGCTGCCATGGAATCCTTGGGGAAAAGCAAAGTTGCTTTAAGGAGCTGCAGACAACTCATTAACTTGTGTCCTTGCTTACTGTGAAGTGCCTCTTCGCAATTAAACCTGAATCGTTATCCAAACCTACTGTTCATTATGAATGTGTTGCTAAATCACATTTCTTCGGCTGAACTTGTATGATCCATATCTGTCTTTTCTTAACAGATAAAATACACTTCATAGTTTTCTGCTGCTGAGATTTCATGGGGCATGATGATTTGTTTTTAAAGACCATCATATAGTCAGAAGATCAAGGCAAGCTTTCAGAGGCACATGATGACATTTTATTTAGGACAAAACCTAAATGCCTGTTGTCATAAAACTGAATGATTTCCACTTTTAAAATATGATTACAGTTGCATTTGACTATACAGTCAGGCATATTCTGAATGACTTTGCTATAATATTTTAGATTTTGCTATATTATTATTTTAGAATTTGCTAAAAAGTAAACTTCAGATGAAGTTGTCAAATGTATAGCTAATCCTTATAATAATAATAATAATAATAATAATAATAATAATAATAATAATAATAATTATTATTATTATTATTATTATTATTATTATTATTATTATTATTATTATTATTATAGAACAAATACCTTCTCCATGTCACCTGAGACAATCTTCTTTCTTTCAAGGCTACAATTTATGAAAAATGCTGTATTTATGAAAAGATCTACTTAATTAGTATTTTGTGATCCAGGAGCATAAAATAACAAGAATCCCCTTGTAACAAGAAACTTAAATACTTTTCAACTAAAGTCAGTGGGACCCAAATTCTCCCTTTAGGAGCAGAAAAATATAAATCAAACAATCCCTGATTTCTTGGAGTCAATATAACTTTAAATGTCCAAAGCCACAATTTGGTGTCTTGGCAGCAGAAATGGTGTAAAAAGAAAATGATCATTTAAGTGGATCTAAACTGGTTTAAATCAATAACAAGGACATTGTTTAATGTGACAAATGTTGCTGCATCATTATCAGTTCAAAAACCGAGTACATGTGGCTTGTTTAAAGCTGCATGGAATTAAAGCTTGTTTTTGTCTACCAGTTTAAAGTTTATTTAGGTTGGTACACTCAAAGACCTTTTGATATGCATTGCAAAAGTCAATTAAATCTCATCAGCAGTTTGGATTTTTACATTAGTCTTTCATATCATATATCTGCAATATATATAGTTGGCTATCAAAAGTATTTTCTTCCGCCTGGATCATGAAATGGGTTCCAGATTAAACACACAATGTTGTTTGTTCCTACAGGAATTTGGCAGTTTATATGTACTTTTCTTTAACCTTAAGCAGGTTACCATGTGCTCTGATTCAAGTTTATGACTGTTTTTACTACAATCGTAAAGTGAATCACTGTGATCATTAAATTAATCAAGTGGTCATTAAATGAATCCAGTGTATCCAATGGGTGTTTTTTTCCTATTTTCTGCAGGGAAACAGCAAAAAAGTCACAAATCTTGGTGATACTGATGGTTTGTTAATCTCTGCTCTCCTAGAGAATTACTATTCGATGAATGTCAAAATGAGAAGTGGAGGAATTATGCTTCAAGACAAAGATCAAATAAGCCCAAATTCTCAGAATGTGGCAGTTTGTATCATGTAATTTGTGCTACCAAGAGGATAACCTAGTTCAGTGGTGGCTAACCTTTTTGCCATCGCGTGCCAAAAACGGGGGTCGCGCAGGGGGGTGTTGCATGCACGTGTGCACACACCCATAATTCAATGCACCCCGTAAATGCGCGTGATCTCCCCTCGTGCAGCCCCAGCTTTTGGCATGCAATGGCCTGTTGGGACCAGTAGGCCCGTTTTTCGCCCTCCCCAGGCTCCAGAGGCTTTCTTGGAGCCTGGGAAGGGCGAAAACTGCCTTCCCCACCCCTCCAGAGGTCGGAAATGGCCCATTTCCCGACTTCCGGTGGGACCGGAAGGCCTGTTTTCACCCTCCCCAGGCTCCAGAGGCTTTCTAGGAGCCCGGGGAGGGTGAAAACGGCCTTCCTCATCCCCCTGGAGGCCCTCTGGAGGCTAGAAATGGCCCATTTCCCAACTTTCTGTGGGCCCGGAAGGCCCAAAAATCAGTTGGCTGGCATGTTCATGTGCGCTGGAGCTGAGCTAGGGCAACACTCTCGTGCCCACAGATATGGCTCCGCGTGCCACCTGTGCACACTTGCCATAGGTTCGCCATCACAGACCTAGTTTGTAATTTTATTGATTAGAAATTTAGTATTAAACTATTTACTAATGCTATCAAATAACAGGGTGAAGGGTTACTTTTCCAAATGAAATATCAAATTTCACAATTCTTGCATTTCTAAAAGGAGGAGAAATTCCCTATTTATACATCCTTAAATAAAATTGTTTTATTAATAAATATAGATACTTGAACTAGAGTATATTCTCGATACCTTTTGTACTTCAGCTGTCATTGCAGGAGTACCTAAGCAGACCAAGTTCTCATTACCCTTGGAAAGAGGTACATTGCACGAAATGTTAAACATCAGTTCATAGGTTTGCAGAAGCATTTCCTTTTTAATTGATTTTCAAAGGCCCAACATTTATAGCATTTTTTATTCTCATTCTTAGCACAGTAACTTCAATACATACATGGAACATTTGGCATCTCATTTTATTCTGGTAACATCCCTTGGCTTAGGTCCATAGCAATGATCCAGCAATTTAGAAAGTTCCCAGAGGTGGGTGGGTAAAGTAGAATAAAGCTTATAGCACCAAACTACTCATGGAAACTTCCCTTCTGGTCACTAGGCTCCCCATTTCTCCTAATTTTAAAAGTATTTTAAATTGAAAAGAGCATGTTGTAATTCAAAGTGTTAGCCAGAGAACACATCAGCTTTATTTCCAAGAATGCTTCTGTTCCTCCTCCCCACCCCTATTCCATAGGCCCTATAGGCAGGCTTTGAAAAGGTGAAAATGATGAATGCCTGGATGCCATATTTAACTTGTAAGTATGACTGCTGTACCAAAAGAAAAAATCAAAGCTGAATTAGTAGAGCGGCTTTTAGATAGGGTGGCTGGGATCAGTCTAATCTGTTGTTTTCTTATAAGCAAATAAAGGTATTATGGCTGCTATGTTCATCACAGGGAAGAGCTGTGGTGTTGTTGTTTTTTAGTATGGGTATAGTTCTGTCATGCTAGTCATTTTGGGAGAGCCTTCACAAAATGCTTTCCAAATTCAACATATGCTTGTGTTTCCAAAAGTTGGCTACCCCTGATCTTTGTGAATAAGAACATTAGTTAGTTGTTATTTTCACTTCAGTGGTTGTCTTAGTCTAACATAATCTAGCAGAACACTATATTTCCTGTATATCATACTGGGCCTTGCAGTTCTACAAAGGCTTCCATGCAAGTAAATTGAGGTGAACTCGGTGGGACTTGGAAGAAGTAAAGATGAGTAAGAGTGGGTGATGGTTTTGCTTTGGGGGGTGGGAATAAAGACATGACTAATAGCTCTGAATCAGTTGATGGGCTCACAGGTACCTTAAAAATGACATAGGTATCTTTTCCAAAATGGTTGAATATATTCAAAGATATGAACAAAAGATAAATGCAATAGATGTATAATTATAGGGCAAGTGGAAATAGGATTCATACTGAAATTATTCCCACCTTTCTATCTTCTGCAAACAGCAGTGTGTAACAGGGTGAATATCTATTTTGGAAGGAGCAAATTTCAGACTGAAGAGGCTGGTTCACTTCCATTAGTGAACTGCACATTCCAACAGTAACTTGGGAAATACACACCTGCCTTCCACTCATCTGATTATGATTGTATCAGCCGGCATAATTAAGTAGGCAAGTAACATGTAAAAGCCGACTGACAAAGAAAATGATTCAATTGGTGTCCCAGAAGAATTTACTAGACCTCTTCCCTTCAATATACAACTATTATAAAAATATATCCACTCTAAGTTTACTATAAAACACAAAGATAGCCCATACAGACAAAAATATTTGTTTAATTTGAAACCATACATCAATCTGCACTATGTGTAATATAGTGCAAGACTGTAAAACAAGGATGCCTCAAGTTTAGGCAACTGTTCTGAATAAGACCAGTTCGTCTTTTAAAAAAAAAAATGAAGGGAAAAAAAATCAAATCTCAAGAATCAGTTTAAACTCTGTTAGGTACACCATTATGTATCTTTCTCCTCCTCTGAAATGACTAACCACCTTCTCTAGGCTCTGCTGTTAATGTCACAGAGATAAAAGCTATTTTGTAATTAGATCATAGTCTGGGGAAGTCAAGAATTGCAATGGCTCCTTCTGGATCATACTGCAACAAATTTTGACTGGAAGTGAATCTACTTCCCAATCCATTCAACATGGTTACTGTTGTTATTATATAATGGGAAAAAGTTAGTTTGAGAGAAAAAAAAGAAAGATCATTATGGATGCTACCTTACAGTCTTTAGTTCCAACAAAACTTCATATATGAGTAATGGATTACAAGTTCATAACAGCTGTTGATGTTACTTCACATACATAAACCATGAGGTTGCTTCCAAATTAAACTCCTTTAAGATTTCAGAAGCATGAGAGGTTTTAAAGGCTGCATCCAAATTTGTCTGTTTTCTTAAACAGAAACCATGCTCCAAAAAGCATCATTTGTAGGATGTCATTTGCCTATCATTCAACTCAGACTGAAACACCCCCCCCCCTTAGTATTAACACTCTAAGAATTATATTTTTAGAATAAAATGTACAATAGCTACTTTAAGTAGCTGGCTGAACAAACACCACACATCACACAAGAAAAAGTCAACTGTCTGAATCAGTGTTTACTTGAGCAAAACCTTGTAAGGGTACACTATACTCAGTCTTATTTTAAAGAAGTTGATTAGATTTTTATACAACATAGCCCCTGTCAATTTAAAACAGACCCACTGAAGAATGGAATGAAGAGTTGGAAATGCAACATTTCAGAACCAGACTGTGTGTGTTTTCAACTTCTTTTCTGAGGAAGACCTCTCAGAATCTGTGTCTTCAAACTCTGCTCTGTGCCTTTTCTGTCGTCCATGGTTTTGTGAGCCATCACTGTCTGCGGGATGCAATTCAGCAACCTCCTCTTTCATGCTCGTGCTGTGACTGGAAGAGTCTGTTGCGGACAGGCAGCATTCCTTGTGCAAGGATGTGCACGTCTGCACAAAGCCGCTGCCTTTATCAACATTTAAGTGTAATTGTCTTCCTTGACCCAGAACCTCCTGCTCTCCAAAATTCTGTCCATTATTAAGGTAAGGAGAACAAGAGTGTATATGGCCATTACTGTAGTTTGTACAGGAATTGTCAGTGTTCCTATCCTCATTGTCTTCTGTTTGGTTTCTAGATAAATTTCCAGATGTGTTACCATTGGCAGGAGTAGAAAATGAATCCTTAGAAACAGCCAGTGGGTTGTGGCTGGATGTTGTTTGACAATTCTGGCTATTTTTCTGTTCCACAAATCCTGAAGGTTGATTGCATGACTCCTCAGTGCAACTAACTCTTTCTTTGCAAATGGCTTTTCCGTTGAGCTTCTTAGCTTCAAAAGAATGCTCTATAGATCCACTACTCCCAGTATCCTGGGCTAGAGTTTCCTGGTTTTCCACCTGTCGTTGATTATCACATTCATGTTCTTGAACATTTCTAGAAGTTTCTGCTGGGTTACAATCCTTGAAAATGTCTTTGTTATAGCTTTCAGCAGCAGAAGAATCTTGACTGCTAAGAGCTTTTCTACTAGTTCCTGGTCTTCCTTCACTTTCTCCACCTCCACATGAAGATTCACCATCTTTATTAGCCGCATAAGACATGTAGTGAAGCCAACGAAAAGCTTTATAGAGCTTCCTATCTACTGATTCACTCTCAGAACAAGGAAAAATCTTTTCTTTACGAACCTCTGTATTTCCAGCACTTCTTTCAGGTGATGAAGCTGGAGAAGCAGAGAGATCATCCACTTTGATTTGGGGATAATCATAAAGGTCTTCACCTATATAGGTACTTGTGTTTCCTGCATTTGCACTAGTCCTTTCTTCCTTTTGTGGCTTTTGTCTTTGTCTACGTCTCTGAGCATTGCGCTGCCTGGTTAAAGCACGTCTCTCATTCAATTCGTCATCATCTTCTGTGCTGCTGCTACTGCTGGAGCTGCTTGAATCATTCTCTTCAGGACTAGGTGACCTTGGTCTTGGGAAAAGATCAGCATCCAGCTCGGTCTCGCAGGTGTTTTCATCAGAATCAGATTCATTGGAAAGGGCTAGGAGGCGTTTGTCTTGATATCTCCTAAGTGCAGATAACCGTTGCTGACGAGAAGCTGCAGCTTCTCTGGGTGATGGAGATTCAGTGGATCTCAAAGTTCCCAAGTTATAGGCAGGTTCATCAGATTCTTCTATCATATGAGGTGGGGAGTGATGCAGAGAAGTAGAGGACTCAGATTCACTATAGCCAGAGCGTTCACTTACTCCAGCATGGAGCTGCAGGATAGTACTTTCACTGAGGTCACTGTCAGAGTCAGAACTCCACCCCTCAATTTCTCGGCGAACCAAGGAGTCAAAGAAGGCCATCATTCGTGGGTCCTCTTGGACTGACTGATTGGCATAATCATGAGACAGGCCACTGCCACTGTTCAATACAAGATTAATGTACTCCTCATGTGTATAGAGACAACGTGAATCATCTTCAATTTTACCATCAAGATCTCCCGTACCACCAGGTTGTCGATAAGGGCTCCAAATCTATAAACAAATAGAAAAAGTCACTTTATACCCTTACCACACATAATGTCAAGACATTAAAAAAATAAATAAGCAACTTGTATATTTATATTATATATTATATTATAACAATTTTAGAGACATGTACTGATGGGAGCCTTAGAAGAACATTTACTTTAATTCCATTCTATAAGGGCATTCAGATCAAAGATTTTTCCCCACCTGAACTGGAGGATTCACAACTCATAAAAATGCCCTAAACTAGAAAAGAAACACCAGACTGCAGTGCTCTATTTTTATGCAATAAGTGTCTACTGGTGGGATGGGGTGGGGGTGGGGAAAGGAAGAGTGCAGAAGGGATGGCTAAAAATGCCTAGCTGTGTTCTGTGTAAAAATTTAGGCACAAACCAAGATACTGGTTTCCCAGGAAACTAGCATTACTTGGATGAAGAAATATGCCACTATGCTTTATGAGATTACATATAATACTTTGTTTAGCAATTGTAGACATTCCTATACTACAAGATGAAAAATGAAAAAAATATTATTAGTTGAGAAATGTATTGGGCACTTCTTCAGGTTCAAGGAGGAGAAAATTTACTATGGTAACTGTGCAACTATTACTTTCATGGCTATTATAAAATAAACCTTCATTTTATAAATTTATATCCTTTCTTTCTTACGTTTTATTTTGTCACAGTAATCTAATCTTAACTCACAAAACTCTCTTTAAAAATCTTAACTCAGGAAGTAGAATTTTGTACAATAAATGTATTACTTAGAATTAATAAGTTAGATTTGGTGTAGAACTTAGATTTTGAGATTATTAATCAGAAATAAAGTCTAACATAGCATCTCCATAATGAATGAAATCCTCAAATTACTTTTACATGCTAGAAGCAGTAAAATTGCTGCAAGTATTTATAGTTAGAACTAATGTGGTACACATTAGATAATCCCCTACTCTAAAGCAGAAATAGATAGCCTATCTCTATAGTTATCTCCATAGAAACAAAGGTCTATGAGTATTTTGATTCTCATTAAAATATACATTAGCAATACTTCAGTCTTTTTCCTTATATGCAATTGACAAGTTACCATTGGCATTAATATTCAGTTCAACACTGCCCTCCTGCTGCCAACCTTTTCCAACTTAAAACCATTTTCCTTAATATATTAAATTCTTCAGCAATACTGGTCTGCAAGAAAAGTTTTCTATGGTCTTCTTTGCTGTTTGCTGCACACTCCATTTTGTTTCAAAGCTCTTCTGAAAATATTGCCTTTCACTAACAATTTTTGTTTTAGAAAAACCCTTCCATCAATAATAAACCAAATGTATTATTCAAAGTCAAACAGGGCAAGAACTTAACTTTGTTTTCTTTCACATTAGATTGAAACAAACCTACATTAATATGCTGTCGAAAATGAAACATAAGCTCTAGATCGATTTGCTTAGGAAGAAATTATTACAATTGTGAAAAGTCGTGGTGTAAATTAGATTTAGCTATATTTCTTTTCTCCCCTTATCTCAGGTCTTTAATTTCTTTGCTTTAATATCTCTTACTCCTTTTCTGTGATGTACATAATATTATAATGCTCACTGGAAAAGTAAAAGATAAGGAGTGGGATAAATATGTAACATTAAAAAAAAAACCAAAAGGTTGTAGAAAGGCCTCTTCTTTGGCCCTTAGGGGATGGAGAAGTTATAAAAGAATAGGCCACACTTTCCTGTGTTAGACTAGATTGGTATAATAATTTGAGAGGCGCTAATAGTTTAGCTATTTTGTCTGAAAAGTGATGATAATAAAATTTCTATTATTATAGTGTTTCTTTCACACAGTTAATTGGTTTATAAATCAGAAACATAGTTATGTTTCATCAGATACATGCTGGGAACCTAAAGAAATTCCCTTTTCAAAGTAATTATCAGATTGAGAATAGCCCCCAAATAGTGATAGGCTGCAACAAAACCATTAGAAGATGTTTTTTGTGCATTAGTTTTTAACCTTTTTGTAACATGGACAAAAGGGTAAGGGTCTGGCGAAACCTATTGACTCATTCTGAGAAAAATGGATTTAAACACATAAAATAAATTATATATAGTTTTACCCAGAAACCAATTATGCTCAGATACAAAATAGCAGTAGAATCCTTCAAGTTTTTGAGTTCTATAATTCCCAGGACTTGAAATGAACACTTAATATTAGAACCATCATTAAAAAGGCAAAACAAAGAATATTCTTCCTGCGTCAACTCAGGAAGTTCATACTGCCCCATGAACTGTTGATAGTTATACAGAGGAATTATTGAGTCTGTCATTTATACTTCTATAACTACCTGGTTTGGTACAGCAACCAAACAGGACATGTACAGACTCCAACAGATAGCTAAGACTGCAGAAAGAACAGTTGCAACAGCCTGCCTTCCACAGAAGACCTGTTTATTGCGTGGGTCAGAAGGAGGGCTGAGAAGATAGCTACAGACTCCTCACATCATGGACATAAACTGTTTCAAATCCTCCTCTTGGAATGACATTACAGGGCACTGCATGCCCAACTAACTAGACAGTTAGTTTGCCAAACTACAGGGAGAGTTTTTCCCCTCGCACCATCAATCTGCTAAACACCTACCATAATTCTCACAGTACTGTCTAATCTATGTCTATTTACCCATGTAGTATGGCTATAGTATTATCATTTAGCCTAATTATCTTCTTTAATTCCCCCCTCTTATTGGCATTATTCTGATGATGATGATTATTATTCTGTTGCCCTGCATGTACACTGAGAACGTCTGCACCAGAGACAAATTCCTTCTGTGTCTAATCACACTTGGCCAAATAAAGTTTTCTATCCTCTTTTATCCTATCCTCTTCCATCCTATCCTCTTCCATCCTATCCTATCCTATCCTATCCTATCCTATCCTATCCTATCCTATCCTATCCTATCCTATCCTACCCTACCCTACCCTACCCTACCCTACCCTACCCTAACTAATATGTAATATAGTAATTTGTGCTTTTTTATTAGTCAATTAAATCAATAACAAGATAATAAACTTTTTAAGGTATAATAATTTAAGCAGTGTGATTAGTTGAAACCCACAAACATTTTTGGAGTCTAGAATCCATAAATTACTTTCTGGCTAGTATGTATTATTGAATGAAAAGCTAAATTTTAGTCAGAGGTTAGTGAAAACAAAGTTGCAATTTTTTCTCTATCTAAGATCATGGATCCCATGAAACCTATCCATGGACCTCATGTTAGAACTCTATATATCTCTATTATTGGTATAATAGAGTATAACTCTATTATTGGTATAATCTGTATCTCTATAATACAGATTATACCAAGTACATTCATGCACAAAAGAGTCCGAAATGAATCATCCCAATGGACAGTATCCAGTATTCAATAGGCTCTAAGGTCACATTTTCTCTTTAATAAAAATTGATAGAAACATAATAATTCTGGAAAATGAAATGCTATACAATATACTTTCTTCAAGAATCCACACTCCGCCAAAAAGTTTTTATTATAAAATATGCAAGTATGAGTAATAAGCTAGAAGAAACCAGTCAGATAAACTAGAGTTTGTAATTGACTACAGTTTAAGCCAAAATGACCTCAGTAAGTAAGTAAATAAAGGCTCTAAATAGAGTTTTGAAACTTGTCTGAAAATTAGGAAACAGAAATTAATTGAAATTAATTCATGTGGATCTTAGTCAGAAAACTTGCTTAGCAGAATTCAGACAGGAATACAAGGCTGTCTTTCCTCAACTCAGCATAAATCACGACAGTTTGAGTGCTGGATGTAGATAGGTAAGAGTAAGAATCAAGTCCTACCTACCCTGAAGCTCAATGGATGACTCATTCTCAAAATGCCTGTGACATATGACTCAGATTTGTCAAAATGAGCCTGATTCTAAACATCTTGGAAGAAGCTAAAGATAAGTCTGTAGAACCAATGCCGTACAGTACTGACTTGTCCAAACACAAAAAATACGACAGAGTGAATTTAGTTTAGTGACCTTTTGAGAGCTGGATGCAACAAAATTTCATTTTAATGTATGCGGATTAGTGTACATTCAAAGTGACAATAAAGTTATTCTATTCTAGACTATTAGTTCAGATAGTTTGCAATATTTGCTTTATAATCCATATTTTACTCATATAAACATGCAAGGCAGCCTACAGTTAGAATACATCTGGAATGGTTATGATAAAACCAGTAAAATTAAAAATAAATTAGTGGTTACAATCTTAGTGAAAGAAATGCATTTTCCATTTTTTAAAAATACTTGGAGAACGATAGCCAACTACACCTCTCTGAGGAGCACATTCCATAGCCTGAGAGGCACATTAGGAGAAGCTGTTCTTCTCTGTACCTGCAGATGAGCCTCTGGCAATGGCTTTATCTACAAAAGGGCCTCTCCTGCTGAAGTAAATAATGGGGCTGGTTCATAGAAGGAGAGTGAGCCAGTCCTTTAGAAAGTCAGCTCCTAAGCTATTTAAAAGATCAGCATAAAATTTTGAAACTGTGCTGAGCAGAAATCTGCCAACAGCCCAGATCTTTGGGTACAGGCATTATTTGATCCCTGCATTTCACACCAGTATAGCACTAACATTTGTGATGATTGCACATTTTTCAATAATTACAAATTCTTGACAGTTTTCAAGGATAGTCACATGAAAAATATAGGATAGGATGTGCTAACACTTGGATAACCATCATTAGATTAATGTTGATATACTATACCAAGGAGATTTTTCAAGAGGCAACTAGACTTTCTGGTTTTCCTTTCAGTTGCCTCTTGAAAAAGCACCTTTGGGACAACCATGACCTGGATGACTGAGAATCTCTATAGACATTGATATGCTGTAGTTAGATAATTGTGCAAAATGTATTATAGATCACAGCTGCTAGTTGTGGGTCTAGTGACCATTAAGGATCCAGGAGGATCTGCTCTTTCAGGGGGAGTGCAAACCTATCCAAACCACAAGTCATCAATCCATTTTTTCTCTTACCAATAGCACCTCTATCTTGTCTGGATTTATTTATAGCTTATTCACTCTTATTTAGCCAACGTTAAATGCTCCTTATGGCTAGAGATAAGGTCACCTTTTTGCATAAGCAACCTTTCAAACACTTCTGAATTATTAACATTTCATATATCAACTTTTTAAACAGAAAATTAGAATCTGTGGCGGAATTCACCTTACATCAGCTCAACACAGAGTTGTCCACCATTGTTGAATCCCCAGGCATGGCAGCAGAGCTCTGTCTTCAGAGCCTTTCTAAAGGCTGGGAGGGTCAGGCTCAATGTAAGGTCCAGGGGGATGATATTCAACAAGATGGATGCCATGGAAGAAAAGTCTCTTTTTCTGGGATCCACCAGATAACACTTTCTGTAGATAGGTCCCATAACACGTCTCTCCTGCTACTTAAAGCTTAACCAATAATAATAAAAAAACAAAAAATCATGACCATGGAGAAAAAGAAAACCACCACAAACTCACCTTTATAATTTTTTCCACACCAGAAGAGCAGATCATATACGTGTGAGGATTAAATCGAACTTGGTTTACAATTGAACGGTGACCTTTCAGCACCATAAAGGCCCCATTAACCACTCTGCCAATTCCACCTGTAAAGAAAAAAAAGGTAGAATTGGGTGACTTTTTATAAATAGGCTTGACTGAATTGCCAGTGGAATTCGCCCTCTTAATATAAGCAGGCACTACAATATGTGATAGCCTTGAAAGTGACTGGTGCCATAATAGCATCATGAGTTTAATTCCTCTCCCAATGGAATGCCATGGCAAATGACAAGATTTACATTTTTTCAAGCCACATTCTGCCTCAGTTTCCCCATATTATTCTTTGGAAATATTCAGAACCAACACCACATTTGTTTCAGCAGTTTAGTCAAGAGAAATGAGATATGTGTAATTTGTAAATGCATAATGACAGCATACAACAACCTTTGACAAGGGTCACATTTACCTACTTGAACAGATCGTTTTATTCTATATGTAAAATAAAAGCTGTTATAATCTAAGCTAACACTGTGTAACATGCAAAGATTGTTTTAGATTTGGTATCAAGAGAGAGAGAGAGAGGCAGACAAACACACAGAAGTCACTGATAGGGAAGGAGAGCCAAAAAGCCCTGCCTTGCTTTTGATGCTGAGAACAGAGTACTAGAAGTACATGCTGTTGTCATAGGAAGGGGGATGGGGGGGGGGAGTTAAGCATGCTAGCCCTTGCCTCTTGTTGTTGAGAACATGGTTCTAGAAAAAGATACTGTTGAAAGCAAGAGGTGCAAATAATGGGTGAATGAGAATTTGATAATAAGGAATAGGACTACTCCTTGACTGGGGACTTGTTGCTTCCCAACTATGTTGACAGGTCTCTTTGTAGGAGATGACCAGGCTGAGCCTGAGGGGAGGAGTCAAATCAGTGGTGCAATCCTGCCGGATCTATCCGGCTCATGCGAACCGGTAGCGCCGGCAGCCGGAGGCTCTGCCCACCCACCGGGACATCATTACGTCCCGTTTTTGACCCTCCCTCTCCTTTCTTAATTCCCTTTCCTTTGACTGTTACGGTAGTAGTTCAGATTCTTAGAGAGAGTTTAACTTGCAATAAATTTTACTCTCATTTGAACTGCCTGAATATCCTGACTTCCCCGGCTCTTGACACTCCCTGATTTTTACATTACTTAATCTTACATGATTTAATTAATTAGTGGGTTTTATAGGATCTAATGTATCTATTCTTTTTATTGTAAAGTAGTTACTTGTCTGGTATTCCATTATTCCCTTAAAAGTTAGTGTTCCCCAGGTTTTAATGAGACTACTTTGTACTTCTGTATATTCTAAATTTTTAAAATATTTTTTTATCCTGCCTTTATTATTTTTCAAATGGTGAACGTACAGTCCATAATATTCCCTCCAACTATTCAGCTGTCATTCCTTTATTATAGTTATTATTATTGATAGTGATTGTGCAAATCCTATCTTTGCTTTTTGTCTTCCATGTTTAACAGGTGAGTATCAACAGTGGAGAGCCTCTATTAAGGAATAATAAGTAAGTGGAGAATTGTTATGGATACATTTTCTATTAGGGAAACTCAGCCTCCATGTATATGTCATTTTTAGTCTAAAGAAACAAGACTTTTGCTTTTAATACAATTGTGTGATTTCTTGACCTAAATCTATAAATACATTCTATAATTATGTATATTGCCTTTATAATTGAAAAATAGCCTTTTTTTTTAGTAAAGAACATGATGCAAAGTTCAGCCAAGAATGAACAACTCATTTTCAACTTACTACGTGTAGTCCTCGACTTATGACAATTGAGCCCAAAATTTCTGTTGTTAAGTAAGACATTTAAGTGAGTTTTCCCCCATTTTACGGCCTTTCTTGCCTCAGCTGTTAAGGGAATCACTGCAGTTGACAAGTTAGTAATTCGGTTGTTAAGTGAATCTGGCTTCCCCATTGACTTTGCTTGTCAGAAGGTCACAAAAGGTGATTGCATGACCTTGGGACACAGCAACTGTCATAAATATGAACCAGTTTCCACACATCTGAATTTTGATCACATGATCATGAGGATGCTGTAACTTTGAACGGTCACTAAATGAACTGTTGTAAGTCATGGACTACCTGTAATTATAGAAAGAATGAATGTCTTCCTAGTTTACAGCATGGTTTTAACACTAACAAGCAATTAGAAAAGTTCTGAACACCAAAATACTGCATTTTAGTACTATGCATTAAAAGCAAACAACAGTCTAACAATTTAGGACCCTGAGAGCCATCATAATAAATTGTTTGACGCATGTAACAGTCACTTTGGAATCATGTGAAAACCCAAACTTTAACCTTTGCTGTTTCTGCCAAAAATGAGTAGGGCTAAGAGAAGAAAAAAAAATACTGCAGAAAGAAAATTAAAATAAGTTCCAGAATGTTGGTTAGTTTAATAATGAGGCCACAATAGGGCATAGCATATTTCTGCCAGTAGTTCAAATTAAGAAGCTGAAACTGAGAAGACAGTTTGAACATAGTTTGAAACTTAAATGTACAAAGCAGACTTCAAAATGTCTTGGATTATTTATAAGTATGGAACATCAGCAACCAAAATAGAATAGAATAGAATTTCTGTCCAAGTGTGATTGGACACACAAGGAATTTGTCTTGGTGCATATGCTCTCAGTGTACATAAAATAAAAGATATGTATGGAAAAGGTATGGAAACAGGAGCACAAAAGAAAATGCAGAGAGATACAAATGCAGCAAGTAGGTATTAAGGTAACAAGACATCCTGCATTACACAGAACAATACTCTATATGGAAACATCCTCTGCAGTTCTGAAGAATCATATTAATCTTCTTTGAATAAAAGAAGAACTAGAAGGGAAAACAAAGGTCCTGAAGGATTCCAGCAATGGTCTGGATCAGAACATATAGGTCATCTGATCAAAATCTTCAGTATGAGAGATACTGTATAACCTCCTAAATCTGTATTTATGCAAACAGTTAGCAAAAGAAAATGTCAGTAGAAGTTCTTGACCATAAAACAATTACTAATTTCAAGCTTTTTTTAATAAAAATGTTGCTGCCACAAATCCAGATCATTTGTGTTTAAGTATGACATAATATTATTTGATCAGTCTGATCAAAAGAAAATATAACGCTTCAATGCCCCGGGGGAGTGCTGGATTTTTATCTCAAAACTATCCTGGATATTATTATTCATGTTGCTTCCTCAGAGTACAAAAAGAATATCAAATGGTACAACCCATTTGGCTTAACTGATGTTTAACTGTAGATTAAGAACTTGTTAGAATGAAAACAAGTCCAAACAAACTGCACATTGTAGATATGCTATTTTGACTGTGGAAGTGAAAAGGTATTTATTAAGGTTTACCAAGGAAAGTAAAATGCTCCATATGACTTTTAAAGGAACTCCTTCCCTGTTATTGAATTTTAGAATAAGAAATTATTCCCATGACCGCCTCAATAGATATTTTCTTATCAATCCTCCATGTTATACATAAATTCCAAAATACATCATTCCTTACATTTTTATTGGGAATAAATTCAGTAGATTCCATACACTCACCAGCTTCAGGATCTGGAGGAATTCTCCACATGTATAAATTGAAGTCATCAGACCCCGAGAGAATGTACTATTAGAAATCAAAATATTATAAGTTACAAGAAAAAGACTATTAAAATACATGCAGAAGAATAATATAATTTAATTACATAACATGGCTAATGCATGTTCTGTGCTTTGTTCACTGAATATTATTAGGATTATGACAGATTAAATGCTGAAAATATAAAAACTAGTTACCTAGAAAAATATTACAATTCTACATATACACATTGATTTAGAAGTGCCATTGAAATTATGAAAATGTCTCCCTAAATGTATTTATTCTATTTTGGGTACTGTTTACCATTCTTTACTTGTACAAGAGCTTTTCATATGCTATAGGTTACATTTATAAAATTATATTACTCCATTTATAAAGGAATTCCCAGGAAGATCTATAGCTCAGTTGCAGAGTAAATATTTTGTCTTAAGAAGATTCCATGTTTGAGGGCAAGGTTAAGAACAGTACCTATAATTTTCAACTACAGTTAGTTTTAAACTGATTCCTGGGTTAGGTGGTCTAATGATTTGACAGGCTATGAAGTCTCTGAAAAACAACTTCCTATTGTTTCTTGTATCACATCCAAATTACATAATGATATATATAATTTCCCAATTGCTGTAATCATTTTTTTTTTTTACCAAAATAGGGTTATCACAATGTATTTTACAACCCATCATGACTATATTATAAAATGTTAAGGGATATATTTCAGAATTTCATGCTGTGCTGCTAACAGCCCAAGGCACATTTCTCATGGGATATTAGTATTATAGTCAATAATGCTGTATGATGCTTAGCGGTGGACTTGACATATCCTTCATGTTTTCATCCATATTGGTAAAATTATTACTGGCCCAAGTCAATAAAACAAAACAAAAGCAATGATTGTCTCTGCAATGGTGAAATCTTACTTAAAATGTAAGCAATTCTAAGCAATTTTTTTGATGGCATGTCTGCTCAGCAACATTGGAGACCGGTTTCTTCTGTTTGCAACATTTTGAAATATCTAGTGTTTGCAAGCTATAATTAGTGCAAACAAATTTTTACATATTTTTGAATAACTTGTAAATCTTACAAAATATAAAAATAGTACTGGTGTCGTAAAACCAATGTACTCTGTTGTTTAAAAAAATTAGGATGTATTTAAATTCTATGCAGAGCTTTCCCCCAAATTATCTCATTCAGTACATTCTCTGAATAAAAAGTTATCAGGTCCTTGATAATTATAATTTCTTTAAACTAAATTACTGATCTACTTAATAGGAAAAAAAGGAAAGAAATGCACAATTGCACTTACAGATGAAGAATTTGCAAACACTGCAGAACTGTGAAACTGCTAATGTACTAGCTATTTACTCCTTCAATGGAAGATTAAACAATATTAAACATTAGTTTAATATAAAGTTACTTTCCATATGCTATTCCTCTCTGGAAAAAATAATTTCTACCCCAGACCTTGTCAAAATTTAAAGCCAAGGCTGTCACCACTTTTATTAGATTTATTAAACTGATTATTCTCTTTCAAGTAGAATTTTGGATTTTCTTGTAAGAGGAACATTTTTAGAAGTATTAGAACAACTATGTAAAAGATATATTGGATAAATAGCATTAAAGTAACTTTGGATAAATGCCGCCAAGATGACATCTTTTTGCAATAATGCACAGAATCTGGTAGTAGAGAGTGAGCTATAGCTAGACCAGAGTCTTTCAGTAATTTAAGACATGTGGACTTCAGCTCCCAGAATTCCCCAGCCAGCATGCTAGCTAGCAGGGGTGTCAAACTCGCAGCCAATGGGCCGGATGGTCACACACTGGGCATGCCTACCCCCAGTTTAGCGGAGGGGAAAAAAGTGACAACACGAGTTTGACATCCATGCTAGCTAGGGAATTTTGAGAGTTGAAGTCCACATAGCCATAAGTTGCTAATGTTGAGAAATACTGACTTAGACTGACAAGGTATAAGACATCTATCTTATCTTATCTTAGACATCTAATCTTATCTTAGACATCTATCACGAAGACTCTTTCCCAAAGTTTTACAAACATGCCACTAATTGCAGTGTAACAGAAATTAATGTCTCCCAAAGATATTCAAATCCAGGCAAATTCTCCCTGGAGAATAGCAGTAGCACCAATAGCATTTGGAATTGTGTCTGAAGAAAAATGAGTAGAAGAGAAGCTGATAAAAGAAACAAACAGATCACACGTTATCTACAATTAATAATCACTATTCCAGTTGTACCTTTTTGGAACAACCAAAGTTCAAAAGTACGCCCATTTTAGCAATGTGAGATAAGTAATCTCTTTTCTGTTACATTTAGCAAATGTGTAAAGTTGTGAATTCAAACATTGGACAAAAATATCCCAAACTTGTTTCTGAGCAAAATTCTTAGCCAATCATTCTTCATCAATGATTATCTTAAAAAAAAAAAGCAAGCCAGGGTAGAATTGGCTTCCAGACAACCAGCTGCTGATTCAGAAATTTGCCTTAGATGGAAGAAATTCCCAGGCGTGGTTAATAACTGCGGCATGAAACATCAATCCTGGAATAATAAACAATGTCTCAAATGTTTAGAATGAGCCATCCTACGGCAATTGCATGGGATACCTTGTGGCTCCCTCCCACCTCTGTCCCCAGAGTAACTTTATACTAGCATCTTATGCAAACTAGAATATGGGGAGAAATAGCTACAATAGTATGATCTTATAACAGTGTTTTTCTACATTTTATCTCCTTGAGGAAAAATTCAGCCTTCTGTCATTTTTCCATTTCCTTCATTTTTATGGAATGCAGAATAGAACCATAATCCTCACCACAAGCAACAAAAAAGAAAATTCATTTTTTCTGTGGCCACAATTTTTCTGATTTCTTTTTCTTTGAAAATTAGGCCAGAATGGGGGATTTTCTGTAAGACTCAAAGGTAATCAAAGGCTGCCATACTAAAGTTAAGTTTCTTAACAGAGTTCTTGGGATGAAAGGCAAAAAGTAAAAATGTTAAAATATATTTAATTATAAAAGTTAATTTAAAATTCTATGGACAACTACCTTTTTGAGTCCCCCCCCCCAAAAAATCATCTCCTCCAACACTGAAACACACACACACGGGGTGTGTGTGTGTGTGTGTGTGTGTGTGTGTGTGTGTATATATATATATATATATATATATATATAGCACTGCACATGTCATGCTAAACCAGAATTATAGCGATCTGTAATTTGCTATGAGCTTTTGCATTTAGCCTATTTTTAGCCATCTTCATTCATCCTAGCAACACCAGCAGCTAAACTAAAAATCAAGTTTGCTGTGACACATAAAACATCAGGAATGTATTAGTTTTCCATAGGCAAATCAGGAGTTATAACAAGCTCAATCATATCATTCTGGCTAGTAAAATAAGGACAACAATTCTAATTCTAACTTCTGTCCAATATAGCTGCTAACGTTATGGGGATGAATGCTATAACACTGACATGTACCTTATAAGAATTCAGGATTTACCAAAGTCCTAGACTACATTTGATATTTGTTCAGAGGTAAGCCCTTCTACATTGGGAGGCAAAGCATGTACCTTCAACAATACATTCTTGTGTGGTCAATTTCTCTATTTTCTTAGAACAAAAGGTATTTGTATATCACTAGATTAAAGATAATACAATTAAACCATTTCAGTGCCAAATTCAAAGAAAGTTCCAGTATATGAACCCTGAGCTCCAACCTGCAGAGATAGATCTTCCATTCACCAGAAAGAAAGTCAATGTATATAAAAATCTAAGCTATGTCAAAAAGAAAAGTAGAATATTTTTAGGACACTAGAGCTGATTTAGAAGCCTTTTCTTCTCCTGAGCTTTGATAGGCAGGGAGGAGAACAGATATTACAAACGTTAAAAAGGCCAACTATGCACAAAGCTGACTCGCTGGCCTGAATGAGGTAGCTAACAGATTTAGACTCTCTGCATCCAGAAGTTATGCCGGAAAATAACAGAAGCAACAGACTAAGGAAGTCAGGAATTAGGTAAATCTGCATTCAAAACAGGAACCATTTTTAGCACTTCCTATTTAAGAGTTCCTGATGGTTAGTTTACAAGGAAAGAGACAGTTCAGATCCTGTGTCCTTGTCAGCTGGACAGCAAAGGATAGATTAATGAAGGCAACAAATGAACACATGGCACCTTTAAAATATGGGACCTCTGCTTGAAGAATGTGCGTATCAGAGCTACAGTGCATCCAAGACTGACAGCTAAGCTAAATGAAAGCTAAAACCAAAGTAAAACAGTGGCTTAAGTCAAGTTATCGATTCTGTCCAGACCTCTGATTAAATTTCCTAGTGTACAATAGCTTTATAACCACTGAAGTTTTTAATAGTTCTTTAACCACTGAAGTACAGGCTGCCATCTCTATTATTAAGTACCCTTAAATCTTTGCAATTTCTAACTCAACCAACACAATAATGAACAAAGTGTCCTCAATATGGTCATTTGCATGGACTTTCAGTAACCTTGCAACAGCCAGTTTTCCCTTTAATCAGCTTCTCAGTTTTAATTCATGTATTTAGTGATATACCTAAATGATAAGAAATAATTTTTTCATTATTTTTCTTCACTCTAAAGAATCAGGGCTAACAATATTTGTACTTAACAATTTCTAAATAAATAAAATAAAAAATTAAGTAATAAGTCCTAGGACCCTTAGGACACTATTTCAATTTTATAAAGTTCATGAATATTAGAAATAATAACACATCCAAATCCATACATTATTATACATAGGCACTACATTTTTCCATTAAATAAAATATTAATTGTAGATTCCTAATCTCTATCCAATGTGTACTATTAGTCCATTGCTGCCCTCCACTGTCAACACAGAGAAATTTCAGCATTTTTCAATAAAATATTAACATGGCAGGAAATAGGGGAAACCACATATACACATGCTGACTAAATCTTAATTAGGCACAACATAGATTGTTTTTGAGTATCAAAATGGTAAGACATGTTCTTTTAGACAAAACTATTTCCAGGGCCTCTGTGGAAAAGGAATGTAGAAAGAGGCATCCATCTTAAATGGCTTTTCAAGATGTAGCACGCATCAGAAATTCAGGAATTTCTACCGGGAATGCTCCCAATGACTGCTGCATTCCTGAAATTCCCCTGTACAAGAATAAAGTCAACAAAGGGGATTGGGTGGTGATGTAATGTCTGAGATATGCCCCAAGTCTGATAAAGCAAAGCAAAGCAAAACAAAACAAAAATATCCAGTCATACACAGCATATATTAACCCTTGCTTGAAAAAGTCACCCACCAGAGAATTTTGTGACCAGGGACTTACAGATATGGTAGATAGGGTGTGGCACTCCTGAATGTCACTATGTTTTGCAGCATAATTCAAGCAGAACTGAAACTTACTTTCCATATTATTATTTTTTTCTTACCTTTATTATTTTTAGAAATAAGTCATGGAACACATCCAACACACCTTCCTCTTCTTAATTTCCCCACAACAACAATCCTGTGAGGTTTTGTGCCTATGTCCCACAAATGCCTATAATTTTATCCTTCTATCTTTCACTATATATTTTTAGAGGTACCAAGTTTATCATCCTTTAAAAATATTTTATAATATCTATCTATCCATCCATCGGTGAAATGCAATTTTTTTTTGCTACCAGTGTTGTGGGCGTGGCTTGGTGTGTGGGGTGTCATGTGACTGGGTGGGTGTGGCCAACTTTTTAAAAAAACCTTTTAAAGCATTTTTTTACTACCTATTCGCCCGAACCGGTAGTAAAAAAATGCTTAAAAAAAGTAAAAAAAAAAAAAAAATTCCAATGATCGCATGACATACAGTAGCTGTGATCGTCGGAACCTTTTTTTTTACTTTTTAAAGCATTTTTTTACTACTGGTTCATCCGAACAGTAGTTTTTATCACTACCGGTTCACCCAATTCAGAGCGCACTGGTAGCATTTCACCCCTGCATCCATCTAGCATCACTACAGCTACAGCTATATCTATTATAATATTATATAAGGAATAATGCATGTAAAACCTTTTCCCTACAATATAATTTCCAGGCAAACAGCACTATTCCCTTATGTTACTAATTAAAAAATAATAAAATTAGGATTTTTTGACCATCTAATGAAAAATACAAAAATTGTTCTCACAATTTTATGAATGCACATATTACATGATAAGGCAATGGCTCTATGGTTCTCTTTCATCTACGAGATACTCCATGATATTTAATATTTAATAATTTATTGTATAAATTGATTTGCATATGGCAAGAAAACAGCCAAAAAGCCAGGAGGTGACCTTGGGCCAGTCACCTTCTCTCAGGAGAAAGAAGGTGACTGACAAATCACTTCTGAAAAACCTTGCCAAGAAAACCTTGCTGCCTATCCCTCCCGCCTGGAACGGGCCAAAAACGGGACACGCGGATGCCGAAAACAGGACGTGTGGAGGCCAAAAATTGGGCATGAGGCCGAAAATGGGCGCACGGATCAGCGATAGTAATCAGCGGCAATAGCAATCAGTGGCGGTGATCCCCGCAGCCTGGAACAGCTGATAGACGGTATTCTGGGAGGCCTATCCAACCACCAATCAGCTGCTTGTGCTAAATCAGGCTGTGCTGAAGCTGACCAGGCTGTTTGCTGTTTGCTGCAAGGAGGCAAATTCCTGGGAGACAGAGGCCGAAGGGTGGGGCCAGCGGGTGGGCGAGTCTTTGCCAATATTCACTCTATAAGATGCACAGACATTTCCACCCACTTTTTTGGAGGGGGAGGACATCTTATAGACCAAAAAATGCAGTATATTATCTATGTGTATGTATTTCTTCAGCAGCTCTTTTCACTTCCCAACCCACTATGGAAAGAAAAGAGATAAAAACAGGAAAAACACTGCATCTGCAGCAGCTTTAAAGCAGAGACTCAGCAAGTCAGTTATAAATAGTAACTGAGATGTTCATCATTAACTACTATTTAATTTATTTGGATGACTAACCACAATATGACTTAACATATTGTGAGAACTATGCCACTAAATATTATCTTTATTGATCTAGATTTACTGTTTTACACACAAAGAAATCTTATAGTATTCTACACTATATTCTCAAGCAGTCTTAAAATATCTTAAAATGCCTCTCTATATAACTCTTGGATTTTAGGAATTAATGCCCCTTACCTGATCACGATCTCCTGCAAAACAGCAGCTTTTCATGGTACAAGAGTTAAAATAACCCTGGTTGTCAAACTGGAAGACAGGCAGACGGGAATGGATGTCATAGAGGACTGGTGGCAACCGACGCCTGAGAGCAAGCAGCTGCGTTCCGTTGCTGTTAAATCTCACACTCATGGCACTCTGAAGTGACAGATTCCCACCATACCGGAGCAAGGAACTAGGAAACAGGAAACAAAAATGAATTAAAATGAGCTGCCACAAGTCAGCTGTCGCTAAGGTAGTTTCTATCATTAGCATTGGTGTTCAAGGATGGCAGAGTGTCTGAATGTGCTGTTTTGTAACATCATCATAATTTGGATACTATAGCTAGATATCCTGTTCAATATGATATTTGAGTAATGATTACTTTAGCAAAATTTGGAACAAATTTCAAGTGAGTATTGTGGGTATATATTTTACAACTTTATTTCAGGCAAATCTAACAGCATAGAAATCCCCATGAAATCAAAGAGAGGAGGGTGATTTTAACTAATTTATTCTACTGACTGCAAAACTGGGGTTGGGAATTCTGGCTGCAGTGCACAATCCGCTTAAAATAAGCACTGATTTAACCTGGGTTTCCTTCTAGTAAAAAATGAATAATGTTTGGATCTAAGAGATCACTTCCATGCATGTTTCTTCAAAGATAATCAGTGTTGAATAAGACTCTCTCCCAAAGAAGTAAATTGAAGATTTTTGCCTTACATGTAAATAACATTTTAAAATCTTAAAATTTTAGACAGAAAAAGTAAATCTTTAGGAATAAGATAATTTGTTTGCTAAGTTTATATACTGCCTTTTGTTTTGGTGCTTATCATATTTATCACATTCAGTTTAACTGGGGAAAAAAATCTAGTTTTGGACCAAATGCTGCATGAATACAGTATCTGGAACCTTCTAAGATGTTTATGTCATGAAGTTCTTCATATTAAAATGCACTGTGGCTGAGGGTCAGAGCAGAATAAAAAAAGCTCAAATCAAATAGCCTTGCGCTATTCTCAATTAAAAACATGAATCACCACTATTTGATTCTTCTTGTTGTTTTCACTACTGAGCTGCTTCATGTATGAAACTTGTCTCTGGGCAGAAAATAATTTCTTTGTAGAAACAGGAAACACACACAAACACATTTATAGTGTGACCTGCTACACAGGTATAAAGAAGATACACTTGGGTTATTGCTATACAAAAACTGGAGGAAGATACAATTGTGTTGCTATTATTACATAGAAGACCATCCCTTCCAGCTCTATTCTGATTGATATATATATACAAATTTAAGCCCTTTAAAGTCTTTTGGAGAGCCGAAAGGATAGGCCTTAAAAAGTCATTGGGTATTCGGGCAGTAAATTTAAAAAAATGAAACAATATAATTTGAAATGCAAGAATAGCTTTGTTATGTCAAAATAGTTTTTACGAATAGCTTGTGGGAACAAATGACAACTCTTTGTGTTCAAGAATCAATTGCTTCATTTCCAAGAAAAAAGATAAAAAGTTATCTTCCTTTGGCAAGTGGCATCATCTGGATTGTTTTTTGAAGCTCACAAAAACAAAACACCACTAACAAAGGGAAAAGAGATTGGGACATGAAATGTCTTCAGTTGCTTTCATTATGTTATTCAGTCTGGATAGCTTGGTAAGTCAGAGTTGTAGCTAAATTAGTTACATGTTAGTCTATGGATATAGGAAATCATAATAACCTTTGGGTGAAAAAAAGGACAAAGAATATCTAGTTCTAAAGTCATAAAAGTCATCACGCATAATGAAAAAAACCTGCCATCATTACAAATTGTAGTATTTTTATTACTGCACTAAGAATGCATATAGCAATGCAACTAATGAGCAAAAAGTAGTTCTTGGCCAAGCAGAGAAAATATAAAAATTATAGTATCGTATCCTATTGTATAGTAGTATCTCCATTAAGTCCAACTAAACAATTTCTCCAAACACCAAGCCTTAATGTAAAATAAAAGTGAGAAAAGGGAGATGGATAGTGCAAGGTAATTTGATAAACAATGTTAAGAACAGAAACAACTTTATGGAAAGTTACAGTGCAATGGTATAATGTTGTTCTTTATTGTTTGATTACTGGATGTGCCATCAAGTTGATGTTGACTGAGTGACGACATAGGTCTTCTGCATGAATAAGCATATATGCTCTAGAGTATTTATTTTCGATTCCTAATGAAATGAATTATTTTCTCTTTTTAAATGCAAAATGAAATGTTTAAAGCTATGTCGTCTGTGAACACATGTTCCCCAACGATTAGTAATTATAAAGAAGGGGTCTTTATGGCATGATTTCCTGGAGTCTTTCAAAAAGTCACATGATGGCTGGAATCCAATCTTATCTCAAACCATTGTCAAGATAGCTGAAACAGACAAAAAGTCATAAGGTGATGTAAACACTCTAGCAATTCTGAAGGGTAACAGCCAGTATCTTCTAGCAAACAAGATTCATAGTACACTTTAAAGACTACCTTATCATATAACCACAGGATATTCAGACAACTTTTTTTTGGCTCCATAATTGCTTTGTCTAAACCTTCTGAGACAAATCATGCAGAAGCTGGGATATGGTCAATTATGATAATAGTTTCCTATATTCTCAGGAAAGAGCATCATGTTACATTTGTATTTCAAAGGTAGAGAGGCCAGAACCCAAATGTATTTATCTGTGTCAAGGTTTTAGAGAATAAACTGAATATTTTAATGAAAATATTCATTTTATCTCTTAACTCCCCATCTCCCCCCCCCCGTCCAAACTGTAAGTGCTTACTGGGCAAGGAGTTGAACCAGTGCCTTGATTCCCCCCTCCTTGCAGGTGTCCAGAAGAGATTTGGATTAGGAGGTACATACCATCCCCAGTCAGATTTCACATGGGAGAACTGGTGATTTATAAAAATCCCATGGCCCCTTTCCTCACTGGAAAGGGTGTAGACAATCTACTTCTTCTAGTATGCTTCACAGTTCTACCCACAGTCTCAATAACTTTCTCTAAGACAGGAGTGTTAAACTTGCGGTGATACATCATCACATGACGTATTGCAACTCCCCCCCTTTGCTAAAATGGGGGTGGGTGTGGCCAGTGTGTGATGCATCCGGCCCACAGGCCGCGAGTTTGACACTCCTGCTCTAAGACATAGGGCAATAGTTGTCAAAAATAGACCTAGCAAGACCCTCTTTCAAAACTGTGGGCATCAATCCCTCCAAGAGAGAAGTGTTAACTACCTCCCAAATCTAGGAGAATTAAGGATTAAAGAGCCAAGAATGGGCATGATTTGAGTTCACATACTATTTGGGACAGCTTGGAGAACACTTTATTCATTTCTTCAGAATCTGCAGGCCAAAAAAGAATTCCAGATAACATGGCAAGACATTGCCTCATTCACCACGACAGACTTTGCCCAGAAGATACAGTTTTACGCTATAGTACTTACAACAGTGAATGCAAATGCAAGCTGCCCAATACTGACCTGCAGTAAAAACATGCACAAATATGCTACTAAATTGTATGGTTCCACACAATTAACCTCTTACAATTACAGAGATTTTAAGTGACTTTAATGCATTTTAAAGTCTAGTTGAGATGTGAGGGCATATAAAATAGATAGAGAGACAGACAAGAATGTAATTGTGTGTAGTGTTATCATCTGGATTTCTAGAACTGAATGAACAATTACTCAGCATTCTTTCAATACTATTATGGCCAATACTATCCTGACAGTTTACGAATATAAGTGGAGAAGGACGAAATGAGTCCATGTGTTTTTAGTTAAAACTAATCATTTTGGCCATTCTCAATTGACATAATAGAGAAGAGGCATTCAGAGGCCCAATTTAACTGCAACCAGATATATCCTTGATGCAAGACTTAACAATTTTATTTGACATATATATCCAATAGCATTGCAAATCCAGGATAAGGTAAGAAAGAACGTATCTAAAGTTACAGTCACTATCATCACCCCCCTTTTACTATATTGCAAGGCAAAGGAGGTACCAGAAAGAAAGGAATGAGGTTATGCATGCACACATATGCTAAGACACTGTCTTAATGCAACTGCACAAACCATTTCAATGATACAAATGCAAAGCAATTTGAAGAGATATGATTTATTCATGTTACTCTGCATTGTGAAACACTTGTTTTAAATAACATGTTTCACCAATATGAAATGACAGAATGCCTAGTGATACCTTCTTCATTTGCAACATTCAAAACTAAGGTACTTCTAGCAAGCTCCAGGTATTGCAGGCAATTCTGCTAGATAATCTGTAGGTCCTTCTGTTCTGATATCAAACAAATTGAAAAATATATGAAATGCACATTAAGTCAATTAAGCTTCATGTGAAGTAATAATTGGAGCAGGAACAACCAATCAAGTAACAGCATTTTTATACACAATGTAAATATGATATATAGAAAATAATATAAATGGTCTATTGTATCCATATTGGTAGAGATTAGAAGTGCATTAAAAGGGAATTAAATAATCAAGTAATAATCCATTCTTGCAACTCTGAGAACCCAATATAGATTGAGCAGATAGTTCCCCATCTAAAAGCCAGGTATTTTTACTTCAAACTGAAAAGTTTGTTTAAATAATCTGGATAAAAAGTTCCAATTTATCAGTATTGAAAGAATGCTCACTACAACATTTTTCTATATATTATATGATATATAGAGAAACTTTTACCAAGGAAATTTTAAGGATAAATCAAATTCTTATCAGATTATAAATTCCACTCTTTCCAATTTCATTAAACAATACCTAACAAAGCATGTTATTCTTTACCTTTGAGGTTTTCGAATATCCCAAAGCCCAACACCTTCTTTTGAGTTGGCAGTGGCCAGTAATCTAGGCTCCACTGGATTGAACATCACACTATGAAAGGCAGAAGGATAATTTGCCAAGCAAAAGGGCTCTGTTAAAAAAAAATGCAGCTTTAAAGATGATACATTTTCAATATTTGCCAATAATTCTTAGAATTAATTTCAAGTTGTTCTGGCAGAGGTGTCATATCAGAGTTTAAATTATCTTCCCATAACTCCCACAAAAATGATAAAACAGTACTCTCTACAGAAATATACATTAATACAAATAGGCTCTTTAGTCTTAATCTTGAAAGTGATCGATAGCAACAAATAATTTAGATTTGACTGTTCTGCATTTTCAAGTTTGTACCTAAATTCTGCAAAGTATGTGTTCACTTGCATATACAAAACAATGCTCCAGTCTGTAAGGTATTTTGCAAAGTTGTTAAAGGAGCTTCACTGATGATATTATTAGTTGGGAAATGAAACATCTGTAAGCATGCGATCAAGCTCGGAGAGCATCAAGGACTCTACAAGAGCCTCACTTAATCATCTAATTAAAATTGAATTATTTTATCAAAATATAGCACTGAAATGAGTTTAATAAAGTATTGGATTTTCAATGTTTTCTATTATAACTTTAATAAGTTTATAAACTGCTATTCACAACGATAGTGGTTGCCCTTTCAACATCTTAAAATATGCTTGCTATTGGCAGATATCAAGAGCTCATATTCTGTGGAAATATTTATATTTTTCATTGTATTTCTCTATTTCATTGCATTCCTTTAATTCTTCTCACTATTAAAGTCTTTTCTCCCAAGTATCTCTAATGGATGTTAACTCTAGAATGCTTGTATTAACTATTAAAGTTTTTTACATTTGCTTTTACTGTGAATATAAGCTTTATGTACTTACAGTCTACTATGGTTTGCATTCTATTCCCTTACAGTTTAACATTAATGTGAGTCAGATCATTATGGCTTATTATTAAAAATTCTTGAGAATTCTGTTGTTCCCAACACTGAGATACCATATATATCTCAGTGTCTCATTGCCTCTTTGTAGCAATGGCAGAAACTGTATTTGCTATTCCTGACATGATTCATCATGGTGGAAGGAACATCATATCAAGATCATGAGTGCAGAATTCCTCTGACATAGTCACTCTTCCAACACGTTCTGAAAGGCATGCCTACCCCACCCCATTCCACCCTAATTTATTTTCAGTCTTATCTGAAGCAAACCATAAATTATATTGGACAGAATTGCTTTACTTTTTCTCATTTCTTCATATTGCATATTTGGAGTAAATAAAAGTCTCCTAAATAATTATCCTAAAATCATTTTGTTCATTTCAAAGGAGAAAACATTTCATAGCATTTTTTTTCAGTTTTGCCTAAATTTTCCTTTGTTTGGAAAATTTAGAAAGATCATAGAAAGAGATGCCATGTCTCGTCTTCCCTGGTATTTCCATCCGTCCGTCCGTCCCCCTGATACAGTATATTCACATATTTGTTCAGTGCCATCTGTCACCAATGAAGTAAATCAATGCTCAAACTCATGCAGACGTAATTCTCACCTCCCTGAGAAGACTCTCTGATATCCCAAATGAGAACTCGACCATCATCAGATGAGCTTGCAAAAACATTATCATCAACTGGGCTCACGGACAGTCCATAGACTGCATCTTCATGGGCAAACACATCCAGAGTTTCACCACTGAAACATACACCAGCATCATCAGCTTCTTATCTTTTACAGTGACAACGTGCTAGAAAATTTATTTCCAGACATTTATAGTCCATTACCCCATACATATCCGTAGAAGCAAGGATATATAGAAAACACATCTACAAATATGTTAATACAATGCAATTCTATATAAATGACGACTATCATATTTGGACTGAAAAATTCTAAAACACTAATAGAATTTTCTGTATCTATTGCTGCCATCAAATGGCTTTCCAGGTTTTTGCAAGCCAGAAAAAAGGCTACCCAGAATGGTGGGGTTATTTTTTGGTCTTTTAATGACCCTGTAATCCTTTGCATAGGGATGGAATCAGGGCAACTGAATGGAGCTGAGTGTTTATTGGATGGATGCCCTTCCTGTTGCCAATGCAGAGTTCCCAGCAGATAATTTCACATTATGCCCAGAGAGAGAAATATCTGCCAGTACCTAGGACAGTGATGGCTAACCTTTTTGCCATCGCGTGCCAGGAGAGGGGGGGCGGGGGAGGGTTGCGTGCGCATGTGCCCACGCGCATGTGTGCGTAATCCCCTCCCCCCCGCTCCTGGCACATGATGGCCTGGTAGGCCCGTTTTTCTTTCTTACCTGGTTCCAGATCCTCTCTGTATATCTGGGAACGGTGAAAACAGCCTTTCCCACTCCCTTGGAGGCCCTACGGAGGCTGAAAAGGCCCATTTCCCAACTCCCGGTGGGACAGGAAGTGACATTTTTTGCTGTCCCCAGCCTCCAGAACCTCTCTAGGAGTCTGTAGGAGCCTCTCTAGGAGTCTGTAGGAGCCTCTCTAGGAGTCCCTGGAGGCTGGGGACAGGAAAAAATGTCACTTCCTGTCCCACCGGGAGTGGGGAAATGGGCCCTTTAAGCCTCCGTAGGGCTTCCAAGGGAGTGGGAAAGGCTGTTTTCACCGTTCCCAGATACAGAGAGAGGATCTGGAGCCAGGTAAGAAAGAAAAACGGACCTTCCCCCCCCCAGGCCCTCCAGAGGCAGGAAACAGCCTGTTTCCCTACTTCTGGTGGGCCCAGAAGGCCCGAAAATCAGCTGGCCGGTGCGCACATGCGCCCCACAGCTGAGCTGGCGTGCCCACTAATATGGCTCCGCGTGCCACCTGTGGCACGCGTGCCATAGGTTCGCCATCACGGACCTAGGATCAAACTTACAGCCTCCTGATTGCGAGGCAAGAGCTCCACCTCTAGGCCACTGCACCACCCAAATAGGCTACCCAGAAATGCCTTATTCAATTCAGTAGAAGTCTCTCATTAGAAAGTATGCAGTGGAATAAGCATCTTGATCTTAATGCAAAGTAGACAGGAAGACAGATAAGCTTCTGTCTTCCCCATTATCCCTTATATCACTCATCTTTAAATTCAAAGAAGTTTCAAACTGCTTGCACAGTTGTCCTATTAGTAGAGAGTAGCATATATGCTTGAAGCACATGGATTAACATACTTGTAAGGGTGACCTTGAGAATGTTACATTAAGTAACAATGCAATTCTACATGCCACTTCTTGAAAGTTACTTTAACTGAAGATGGGGGTTATTTCTGAATAGATTATTGCAGTGAAAACTATGGGATAAATGGAATATTCCCACACATTTAATCATGTAAATATTTTAGATCATCAGATATGAATAAAATATCCTACAACTTAGGCCCACTGATATTTCAGTGTTTCTCCTTCTCTCCATCATTACTCTGGGGTAAAGAGTATTTAGTCATTGGAAAAAATGCATTTACCTTTGGACATCATGAAGCAAAACCTGTTCATCATTACCTATAAACAGAGACAGAATTTGGCATTTAGTAACATGAATGTAAATGAGGAGGATAGTGGTCCTGCAGTTTTCATTTAGAAAAAGAAAAATGGTCTGGGAACACAAGAAAGAAATGAGCTTTTTACTTTTATTGTGGACCAAATATTTATGACAATGATTCCTACTTATTGGGTTGCTTTTGAAGTCCAAAGCAATAGCAACTTGCTGTGGAACAGCAGTAAAAGAAGTTGTCTCTGGAGATTCTCAATCATTCTGGTCATGGCTGTCTGAGAGGTAGTCTTCAAAAGGCAACTTCTTACAGAGAAAGTCCAGTTGCCTTTTGAAAAGCACCTTTGGGATAATAAGATAAGTTGTGTACTACATGTCCATTCTATCTTTAAAGGCACTAGGGTAGTTAAGTATGGAGAAGTTCCACAGAAAAAAGCCCACCACCCTTTGTTTGCTTTAGAAACATTATCACAATATACATCACAGGAATATACAGGATTTGGAATCCTTTTGATTACTGAATATCTATATCTCTCAATTAACTCACTCAAGAAGGGCAAACTTTTGCCAATCGGGAAACGATTTGAATGGCCTTATATAGAGAGGTATGGCAGGGATCAGTAACTGCAGTGGGTGGAATGATATTTCAAAATGTGTGGAGCATGATACAACATGATTGGAGTTTTGAGGAATTTATGATCTTTTATTTTAAATGATGCCAAGCCTATTTTAGCTTTACGTTACAGTTTCCATAGTGTTTTTCCCCTCAAAATGGTGTGAAATTAGACTTCTGTGCATCACTGAAGTAATGTTCAAGTTCTGGGATCCTCCAGGAACAGCAGCAATAGTGCAGAACACAGAATGCTTTTCCATCTAATCAGAAAAAAGTACAGGTAGTCCTTGACATGAGACCACAATTGAGCCCAAAATTTCTGTTGTTAAGCAAGACAGTTGTTAAGTGAGTTTTCCCCATTTTATGACCTTTCTTGCCATAGTTGTTAAACAAATCACTGCAGTTGTTAAGATGGTTATTAAGTGGACCTGGCTTCTTCATTGACTTTGCTTGTCAGAACGTCACAAGAGGTGATCACTTGACCCGGGACACTGAGATCATCATAAATATGAGCCAGTTGCCAAGTGTCCAAATTTTTATCACATGACCATTGGGATGCTGCAATGACTGTGTGAGAAATGGTCATAAGTCACTTTTTTCAGTGCTGTTGTAACTTCAAATGGTCACTAAAGAAATGGTTGTAAATAGAGGACTACCCCTATTTTTTTCCTACTATACTCTAAAGATAGCTCAGGTTAGGAAGAGGATAATATTGCTTATTTTAAAAAATATTTTGGTACATCATTTTTCTGTGCATATCAAGATTATAGAGCAATCGGGACAAAAAAAGGGGCATTATATAACTTTCTTTATTAAAATAGGGGGCTGTCCTGTGAGGCACTCTGCCATCATATCCAATGCAGCTGCCAACACCAGTGAATGGGAAAAAAATCATTGTCAGTGACAATATGCTCAGAAGGTGGTTGGTTGATGTCTCTCTCCAGTAACAGGAAATTTCTTTTCAATTGTGCAGCCTCAATAATATTGCAGAAAAAAAGAAGTTTGGAGATATATATTGGAACTACTTAAAAATTCTGTTCAGATTGAAGCAACATGTAAATGGAAACCAATCAACCAATCAATGAAAGCATTCTTGCTTTGTTTTAAAAACTTGATTGTTTACCTCCAGAAAAGATTCTGGTGTTACCACTATTAAAAGCCAGGCAGAAGATATTAGAGTGATGTTCTCCTTTCAGTTGAACAGGCTTGACCCTGGAGTGGATTGCTTGTTCCATATGCCAGAGCAGAACTCGACGGTCATCTCCACCTAGATGGTATAGAGCACAATATTCAAGAAAAGCATTACAAGCATCTATACACCTTGTGATATCAAATCCTTAATATTTTAAGCCTGCATTGCTGGATCATATGAAGAGCCACTACAAGTTAGGATGAATTACTCCATTGTTGCTCATTCTTTTTTCTAAACAGAGGCTATTACATAATAATGAATTGAGATGGGAAAAAAGGGGGGAAACTCTAACAGCTATAAATATATAACCAGACAAGCTTTTGTTTTGGGCATTTGCATTCATTCTCCTATGTAGTTTGGATAATTTTTTTATTGAGAACTCTAGACTGTAAAACACTGACCAGAAATCTTGCTTCTTTGAATGAAAGTATTTTATATTAGAGATCTCTTCTTGATAGACACTTTTTGAAATACAGAAGATTAAATACAAATACCCAATACAACAGTGAAATAATATGTATTATGCTTGAATCCAGGATTTTTGGCCTAGGGTGCTAAAACTTAAAGGGCACCAATGCTATCTTCCTTCCAAAAATAAAATCTATTTTACATATCCAGGAAGGAGGTGGCATCATCTGTAGGAGGTGGCGCCATCAGTCAAGGTAGCTTACAGATGCCATATACCTCTGAGCTAGAACTGTTTGTGTCACATCACCCAATCTCGGACCAAAGACTTTTTGAAAAATAGATTCAAATCTCAGGTAGGAATAAGTCAACATGTATTTAATGTATTTATTGCATGTAATAGCTACCTTTCCTTCAAGATACTCAAAATGACATGTATAGCTTTCCCTTTTTACATTTATCTTCCAGATAAAGCCATGAAGGCTGAAAGCATGACTTACCTAAGGGTATCTAGTGAGAGTTTCAATGTAGAATTGGGATTTGACTTAGGATATTTACAGTTCTAGTCCAATACTGTGGTATTGGCTAACATATTTCTAATAGATCTACCATTCATACCATGTTTAAGTAAGGGGTTTAAAACAATTTATCCCTGCAATGAATTTTCGTGGCTGCCGTATCTTTTCCTACATTCTTTCAGAATCACAGGAAGAGCATTAAAAATAATTCAAATTTACTTGAATTCAAAATCTTAACATGAGAGAACAAACTTGAATATTAAGACCCATACATCTTTGGCTTTTTACAAATATCTTATCAAAATTATCAGTCATATAATCAATCTAGGTTTATAGGTATGATGGTAGCTCCTACACCCAACATTGTCATATGAAAAAAAGTCATCATCAGAGAAAAGCATCATAAATCTTTTGACTTTCTGTTAGTTACAATATAGTTTTTCTAATATATTAACATATATTTGCTCAACCCAAGCCTTTGGTGTGGTAGCAAACTTTATAAAATAGGAGAAATGTGTATATTTAGATATGCAACATAATGAATAGCTGAAATAATTAAACAGATGAATTAGGATATGTCCTAGAATTGAAATATAAATTAAATGAATGTTTTATTGTGTTGTTTGAGATTTGCCTAACAAGGATCTAACTATTTATTACTGCCAACAGCATGTTTAGACATTCCTCTTAACTGAAAAAAACCTCACTAAATACAGATTGAAGTGTCTATCTGGGAGATTACCAGAACATAAAGTACTGAGACCATCCTTTTTCATAAAGGATCACAAACACTGGTCCAACAGCTACATCATCTTATTTAACTCTGATGGTAGGAGAATGAATGACATTACCACAGCAGTGACATCTGCCCAGAGCATTGTGTCATTGCAACAAAGGTCATTTCACTGTCAAAACCAAGTCTGGTAACTGCCTAGAATGGAGCATGATAATCTCTATCCTTCAAGAATACATGAAAGCTAATAGAACTAAAAAACAAAGAAAACCTCCACATTCAGAAGTGCTTTTATTTATATCTCAATTTTCAATAATCAGAATTATATTTTATTATGCCTGGCTGCTAAAAGTGGAAAGACTTGTCCCTAACAGCGTGTGCCTCTCTTCAACAGTAACGGAACACAGGACAGAAAACATTTTGCAGCCAAGAAGTTTCCGTAAACATTTGCACTACTCAGGTGATCCTGAGGACACAGGTAAACCTCCAAGTGGCCTTAACGACTTTCTATAAGAATGCATCTTTGGGATAGGGGTTGAATTTCTAAATTCTATTTAATCTAGCATTAAAAGATTATTCAGAGATACATTAATGAGTCTTGGGTGTATAAATTATGCCCTCTCCCAATGTGGCTGTGAGAAATAGATTATAAATTTTAATTTACATTTTCAACTAACCATCATTATGCCGTATACTGAAACTGTAACTGTAATTAGTATGAACTATGTCTTTTTAAGCCAAGAAGTATCATTCACAGGAGGTTTACCTAAAACATAATTAAAACTTATACTTTATCTGGTTTCACATTTGAACACTTAAAGAATGTTTCCTGTCTTTTTTTCATAGCCTGTTTCAGTGTAGAGAAAGTGAGGCAAAATATGGAGAAGGCTTCTGACTGTTGCAGTAATCCATAGTATAGTGTGCAAATTATCTGGTTCCTAGCAAAAGAGACCAATAGACAGGTTTAATTTCTACTGGAAGGTATTCCTGTATTCTAGTACTCATCAGACATACTGAAATTACACCAATGACAACTGGCCCCAAAATAGATTTTTTAAAGATTTTGAATCCCAGGCATACTTAAATGAAAGCATGTGGTTTTTAAAAGACCCTACGCTGTGTAGAGATTTAAAAGCTAGAACCAGAATTTTTAATTGGACCTACAATCAAATAAGCAGCCAATGGAGCCAACATAAAATCAAATTTACATGCATCCAGCCAATACATGCAACATTTCAATTTTTATGCATTGATCCAAATTCCACCTCAACATCTCTATTGCTGCAACTCCAAATTTGTTATGAATGCCTTTTCTGGACAGGTATAAAGCACAATATTATTGCTGAAGAGCTGTCTGATAGTGCTGCAAAAAATGAAGCGGCAAAGATCATAAGCACCTCTTCAATATTTTATACTGCATTTGGACAATACTATTTCTCCATTTTAGGTCAGACATACAGTAATTGTTCTTGGTTTATTTTGAATTGCCTTCTATTTTATCTTTGTCCATCTTCTATTAATAGTTTAAGAATCTGGTATCCATTAATACTGACTTCTCAATCATACTAGAAGCCCTGGAACTGCAGTAAATTATCTAGAGCAAACAGTATGTACTGTACTAAATAGATATCATGCTCTCCCTCAACTGAGTGATCTCATTTTGTTCATAATTATGAGTGACAGTCATTTAACTTGAGTTAAAGCAAGTTAACTATCAAATTCCAAAGACGTCTGTTTACAGTGCAGCAAGCCCTGGCCTATTTCAGAACTCTGAATATTTACAGTAGTTCTACAGTGCTTTTCATTTAAACATCAAAGTGGTTCAAAGGAAAAAAAGTACCATATAATAATTACAATAAAAAGTAAAGTAAAAAAAAGTTTTTAAAACCCTAAAACCAACAATGAACAAATGCCAGAAATTATGGCAGCTGATTAAATAGACAACATGTCCTGGTCAAAGAGGTAGATATTAAGTTTTGAGAAAAAGACTCCACACTGGGGATGCACATAATTTTAATTAGAAGTTTGCTCCAACGATAGATGACACTACAGACACTTCTTGTTTGAGTATGTCTGTGAGTAAACAGATAATTCTGCAAATAGCTTGGTCCCAGACTGATTAGGTCTTATAAAACAAACACCACCATCTTCAAAAAGGTTTACAAGCTGATTGGCAGCCAAGGTGGAGGTTTCTACATAGTACTGTAAGATTGTACCCACTGAGACACTTTGAGTAACTTTGTCACAACATTCCGTGCTAGCCACTTTGGGGGGATACATAGGCCTTCTAGGTGGTTGCTGGCTTTTCTCTCCTAGCCATAACCATCATTTTCATCATGAATGAAAATCCCCAATTACTACGGTATTTCCACATAAAATATGTGTTATAGCTACTCCCTCTTCTGTCTAGCCAATGGGGAAACCCTAAATGCAAGGAATAGCTGTTGCCTCATTGTGATACTTGCTCTCCATCTCATTCTTGAATTTATATTCACCTACTCCTGTGGTGAATATAACTTTGCTGAACATTAAATAAACTGAGGTGACCATACAGTTTGGTTTTGGAATCAAAACCTCTGCAACCACTATCTGAATTAGCACACCAATTTTCTTTTTGTCAAGTAAAATTATCAACTTAGCTTCCAAAAATATTTTTTTTAAAAAAAGAATGTGAAATAGAGTAATTGTATATGATAAATCAACCCCCTCTTCTCTGTGACAGCCCCTCAAGCATTGGTGCATAGCTATCATGTCTAATCCTTTAAATTTTTTGTTAGACATATCTAGTATCCTTAGCAGTTCACCATACGGTTTAGCCTCCAGACCCCATATCATCTTTGTTGCTCTGGTATTCTGTTCTAGCTATGTGCCCTTTTCCATTTTTTTATACTTGTCGTTCTTGTTCATCAGTTTGTTAGGGAGCTCTTTGTGCAACCATGTTGGTCTTATCTGTTTTGTTTTTCTTTCTCTATGGTATTGTTTTTTATTTCAGCCTTTAGTATTTTGTTTTTCAGAATTCCCCATGCATCCTGAACTGTTTCTCCTTCTAAGATTTCCATCCATGAAATCCTTCCTAATTTCTTTTAGTTTGTTAAAATCAGCTCTCTTAAAATCTAAAACACTGGCCTGACTTTGTTCAGTTGTCTGTGCCTGCATTATGCTGAATTCTACTATGACATGGTCACTCTCCCAATGTTTTTTGTAAAAAGGGAAAATAAAAGAGGTATAATCTATAATTTAAATCTCACATTAACTCAAATGTATTTTTTATATGGCCCTCATTATTTCTGTGTTCTGATTTTGCCCATTGTTAAGAGACCTTTCCCTAGCAATGCTGTCCTCCAGATATGCACACTCCCAGAATTTCCCAGCTACATGACCATTGCTGAGAAAACTGAAAGTTGTCCACACATTTCAAGGCTTCCAATGTTCAGGAAGGCTGTTTTCTCCACACTACTCAAATACCAAGTTTAGCCTTTGGCCTGAAAAAGCAAGTACCACTGACATCAGCAAGTTTACAAACAACAGATAAAACAAACCTTTAGAACTGATTCTGATTACTTTTGTATATTCATATAATATTATATCATTGTTATTGTATTTTCTTATATATCTTGTAAACTTCCAATTGTAAAATTCAATTGGATTGAGACAGTGTATAAATTTCCTAAATAGGTAAACATTGATTCATATTTGAAATGACAATTTACAAAAGGAAGATGAGTTGTTTTCATCCTATCCCAGATTCTGAGTCTGAGTTCCTTGGAGGAAACAATACATTTAACTTTAACAATACAAATACCAACAACGGTCAGAGCAAAGTCAAATGAGGGAGAGAGAGGGAACAAATGATGAGGCAAAGTTATTGAATGTTAATATTTGGTCAAAAATAGAGAAAAAGTTTGATCTGAGATGGATCTTAAGACAATCAGAAGAGTATACAGTATAGGAGAAATAGAACACCTTCCTAAAACACCTATGAGAAGACAGCTTGGAAAAAATGGAAAGTCTCTTGGAGGGTTACCACAAAGCTTTCATCTGACAGTATTGTAGGGAGATAAAAACTGAAGAACAAAGATCATCCACAGAGTTATTATCTGAAAGAAAGGATTAAGAGAGGGAGAAGCTTATGCAAAGTCATAAATATTTTAAAGTTTAAGAAAATATTTGTGCTACATGGAGAATTCATATAGGACTTTACAAGGATTATCACAGTATCTGACAAATGTGAGTTTGGAATTCGTTTAATACTCATATAATGTAGACATACAACAAATGCAATTTATGGCATAGTAGTACAAGTAGTAGTAGTACAAGAATGAAAGTGCTATTGTGTCAGGCTGCTTCTTCTGCCCAGTAGTTATCATTTACTGTTTTGTATACTCTCATATCACCAGATTCCAGGTATACAAAACTATAAAACCAACACGTACAGTAAAATATCATACATCCCCCAACACCATAAAATCTGCTCCAGACATTTAAAAACAAAAAAGAAACAACTGCAGTCATCAATAAGCTTTGAAAGCCAGCCTGAATAACATTCTTAAAGCCTGATAAAAGGGAATCAGATGCATCTTGGAGGTAAGGTTGGGGCTATCACAAATAAAGCCCACGTTTTGATCTATGTCTCTCTCCCCCCGCCATATTCTTCAAAAGCAGGCTTTACTAAATGACTTGACAGAATGAATTTCAATATTCAAATTCATATTCAAGAAACAGTAATCCTGTGCATATCAATTCCAAATGAAATACTCCTGAAGTTAGTCACACTTTTGGATGATATCCAAATACATAGGCTATTTCAGTAGAGATCCGATATGTTTATTTGTTCCTGAAGTATTCATAAAAAGTTTTCCGATTCCTTATTTTGGAAAGAAATAAGCCATTGAACTACTCAAGGTAATCAGCAAAGTTTTAGACAAGTTGACATAACTTTTTAAAATCCTTTATAGCTTTTTTATTGCAGAATGGCAACTAAAGTGTAAAGATGTAAAATGCACATAGTAATATAAATAAAATATTACTAGTAATATAACATATATTACTAGTAATAGTAATATACTATTACTAATAATAACAGTAATATATAGTAATATATGCTATATTATTATATGTATTCTACATCTTTATATTTTAATTATCATTCTGCAAGAAAAGAGCTATAAAGGATTTTTAAAGTTACATCAATTTGTCCTAAACCATGATATGGTAGAGCTTGTAAAATGCATGTAAAGTGTAAAGATGTAAAATGCATACAGTAATATAAATAAAGTATTATTACTGGTATTGCTAGTAATATATTACTGGCAATAGTAATATACTATTACTAATAATAGTAATAGTAAAATATGTTATATTACTATATGCATTTTACATCTTTACACTTTACATGCAATTTACAGTCTCTATCATATTTAAAAGCTCTTTGTTAATCAATGAAAAAGACATGATTTTGTTATCTTCTATTAATCACAGGCAACTTTTGCAGTACTGTAGCTTATCTTGGTCAAATAATTACTTTGTCTTCTCACTCTCCATTAAGTAATCCATCCTTTTCTAGTTTGCAAATTTCTTTAGAGGAAAATAATTACTGAAATGTGATTCCAGTGTAGTAGTTTTCTGCAGTAAAATAGTCATCAAATAATATAGAAAATAAACAATAATTTAGAATTATCGGTTTATTAGTAGTTTAACTTGTGATTAAAAATTTCTTCCTTCGAAGGACAAAAATTCTAATAGGCTCATCATACTGTAGTTTATCTACTGTAGGACAGTAGATAGTTATTAAGTTATTAATATTTCCTTATTGTTTCTTTAAAGAAACTGCAGACATATTTACTTAAATCTGCATCATATTCTTTAAGACATATCATTGTTCTTGCATGTTAATGATATATGGAATATGTTCAGATCTAATGAAGGAGGATACATATTGAAAAACTTTTGTTTCAAAACAGTGGAAGTTTGCATTTATTTGATTCAAAATCTCTGCCACTTCACAGAAGTTCTTCCCTTTCTTCACTATACTGCTTAGTCTGTCACTATATATAAATATACTTAAATGTAATGAAAGTCAGATAAACATAATATTAACCATTTAAAGCCCTATTAAATAAAACAGTATCTGATTATTGCTAACATCATATTTGGCAACATATACATGTCACTTAAGAGTCAGCTTCAATTGAAGTGGTTTATAAGCTTTGTAAAATGAATATTTTTGCACTTCAGTTACCATCTGGAGATAAGTGGTTAAAATGTAGCTTTTCCAACAAGGCTTGAGATGAACACCTATGCTTTGTTTCTTATCTGATCACCAGCAGGCTTTTAAATGTTTTGTTGCTTTATGAAAATTGTTGTTTGTTTTTAAAATGCTTTTTGTGGATGAACTGCCTAGACATGTAAAAAAAAGTGGCATATAAAAATACTGGAAATAAAATGCTGGTATAACTGAAATACTATTTGATATTAAGCCAAATGATCTGTCACGCAACTGCCAATAAGGAAATTGTTTTCATTGCTATGGAAGGCAGTGTGGTATAATGGATAGAATTGGTTTGACTAATTGGCTAAGCATGAACAGAGATGACGACCTCGGGCCATCTTGTGTAGTTGTTTTCAGGCTAAAATAGAAAACATTAAAATACCTTATATACTTAAGGTGTTGTAGAAGTGATTATGTGGTATCACTAGTACAATAGCATTGTATTATCAATACTAATCAATAATGTAATATTGTGGTGTAATAAAATTGCTTTGTTTTAAAGACTGAGCTCATTCAAGGACTAGGTTATAATGTGGGAAATGTGTGACTGTTGATCTCTTTCCTTGTTCTCTTGAAATGAACCCAAAGCTCTCCTTAGCTTCAGATTTCCAACTTTTTTTTCTCTTGAAGACAGAGATGCTGTGGGACAGTCCTTAAATTGGAAAAATATTACCGTATTACCAAGGAATTAGCTATCCAGTCAGGCCTATAAAAAGGATTTATATATGCCTTAATGGAAGACTCAAATCCGAAGACCAAAACTACAAACAGTGTAGAAAACCAAGTAATGGTGCTTATTATTCTTTATAAACTGTGTTGGGGGAGGTGTCTTGATAACGTGCTCTCTTAACCGTGGCTGAAGAGAAAGAAAAATGCCAGGGCCGCGTCTGACTTGCTCCTTGTCAAAATACTCCCCGGTTGGTTACGCGGAGGAAAGCCTGGGCTGCGTAGAAGAGGCACCCGCGCCTTCCCCGGCTAGTGGGAAGCCAAGGCGAGCGGAGGGAGATGCCACCTTCTGTCGCCTCCACGCTTTGGACGGAATAGGCCATCGATTCCCCGGCCTGTCGCTATGAGGAGCTCAAGGAGAGCAAGGCCTGCGGTTCCCACTCAAGCCCCGGCCTGGAGTTTGCATTTCCCCTCGGAGAGGGGTGTGGGGGGGGGAAACTCCGCCTAAAGCGGCAGCGGGGGCGGGGAGAGCTGGCAAGAAGGGAGAGCTGCCCTCGGACTCCTTCTCCGGTGAAAGGCGCGGAAGGAAGCGGCGAAGCCCGAAGGGGCTCCTCCCTCCTTCTCGCCCACCACCCCGTCGCCGCAGCTCACGCCAACTCCGAGGCTCCCCGACACCTGACAGCAACCTCCCTCCCTTCCCCGCCTCGTTCACTCGGCTCCACTCCCGCCAGCTGCAATTAAAACTGGCCAGTAAAATAAGCGTAGGTTGCCCCCCCACCCCTTTTCGGGGAGAGGGGGGGGGAAAGAGAGAGAGAAAAGCTAGCAAATTACAATGACTCTTCTCGCAATAGGGGCTTCCTTCGTCTCCATCCCGTTTTCAAAAACCACCCCCGTCCCCCTAAACGGAGTAAAAGGGGGGAAAAAAATCTGACCCGGACCCCCCCTCCCCCCTTTTCAAATCCGGACCCAACCCCCCTATCTCGGACTCCATTTACGACGCCTTGCGTCTCAGTTACGGACTTCATCGGATGTCACTGGGAATTTCTACGCCTCTTTTATCCATTTTGTTTCCAGTTACTCCGACACCTCCAGCATTAATAACATCCTGTTATTAATTAATACACAAGACACCCAGAGCAAAAACAAAACTCCTAAAAACCTTCCGGAGGAGCCACTGCGTCCGGATGGGGAAGCCCAACTCCCCCCCCCCACTCCACCCATCTCCCTCCTGCAAGCCGGAGCGCAATAAACAGGATTGGGAACAGGGGATAGGACCATCCCCCTCCCCCCCAAACTGTCAACCATTTTAGATCTATATTTGGGAAACCTTAGGGTGTGTTTGGGGGGGGGGAGAAGGAGGGCATCTGTTTCTCCAGGCGGGCTCGGCGATGCGGGGCGAAGGGAGCGGAGAAGAAGAAAATTGGGGGGCGGAGGGGGGGGGAGGAAAGGATGGGAAGGGGGGGAAGAGGAGGGCTTGCATTACCTGAGACCAGCCATTGGCCTCCATTGTTGGAGAATTCAATGGCATTGACACAACCGAAGTGGCCCAGCAGATCCTTCTTGTAGAGGTTTCTACAGCCTCGCAGGCGCCTCCGCTGAAAGTCCTGGGTGAGCAGAGGGTCTCCCTGCAAGCCCCTCTGGGACAAGAAGCCCACGACTGACCTCATGTTGCCCCCTAGGCCAGCTCGCCGTCTCATGGTGCTGGTGCTGGTCCCCCACTTGCCCCCCTCGCTCCTTCGCTCGCTCCCTCCCTCCGCTTTCTCCCCGCCCTCCCTTGTTATGGTTATGATGATTTTCTTTAGCCGGCCATAGCAGGGGAGAGGTATTAGACACTCCGTTGCTTCCTGATCCACTTTAAACTCCTCCCCTGCCTTACAGCAGCGGCGGCGGCGGCGGCAACAGCAGCTGATTCACAGCTGCAGCCTTTTCCTTGATGCGATTCTTCTGCCGGCTGCTTCCTTGGACTGAACGTTGCTCGAGGGGCCAGTGGTTTTGGAGGATGTGCTCTTGACTAAGTGGTTCCTTACTACTACCACCACCATCATCACTATCATCATCGCCACCACTCCTTCCCTATAAAATCCAAGATCGGCGGAAGTATATTTGGCTTTCGCCGGAGACCAAAAAGACGTTGAATCCACCATCACTTTTATGTTACGGAGTTGCAAGAGCGGAAAGCCAGTAGATCTCGCTCGGGCGGGACGAGAACGGGTAGATAGGATAAAGAGCGGCGAACCGCCAGATGCCGTTTGCCCTACCGTCCTTCTTCACAATCTCCATTAAAGTAACTTATGAAGTTGAGCAGGCGTAATAAGACATAACCACTTTTCAGGAGCTTCGGTGGAGTTTTCATCAAAATTCTTTCTAGGACAATAAAACTTCTTGGCCGGAAGATGAGATTTCCGAATTGGTTTTTTAATCTTTCTCTGGCGGCTATTGCTGGCATTTTAAATATTCCTCATAGTATCATGGAAACTTAATCATTTTGGTCAACGGAAGGCTATTTTTTTTTTCTGAAATGTTAACATTTCTTTAAAAAAAATTTTTTAGGAAATTCCATACCAATCAAATATTTTGAAAAGGAATTCTGGGGAAAGAGATATACTGTACATGAGAAATGATGAAAATAATACTTGCATAAGACAATCTTAGTGGAATTTACATAAAATGTACATAACACTGCCTCATCAAAGTGTACATTACTTCATGGAATATATGTCTTTAGTTTGTCTTTAAAGGAAACTTATTCCAAATAGCTGTAAAATCTACTTTTTAAAGCTCCCCAATAGGTGAGTTTATAATAGTAAAATTTATGGGTTTTCATGTTGGTTCACTGTGGGATGTATTAATAACAGATGATAAGGTGATCCTATGTGGATGCCGTTATCTAATATGAAATAGGAGTGGGTAAACCTAGCAATGGCACTGATTCTCTTCCATTACCACAACCTGACTTGGAAGTATGTGGATGAGCCCATCTGTCCTACTAGCCACTGACAAACAGCAGTTCATATAGGACTACTGCAATGTTCCTAGAACCCACCAATGGCATCAGATATATTCAGATAACACAGCAGCTCTTTGAAAGATGTTCCTCGGCAGAAATTTATAAGCTTAAAACACCTGACACCTAAACCTCAACTTTATCCAAGAGAAAAAAAACAGAATGTGATCTAGCACGAGGTATACTGTGATAGATCATCTGCAGTGTTTAATCTTTCATACAACATGTTACATGGGTTATTTTTACTTTGACAGATTTTTTTGGGCAGAGTTGTGCAACCTCAGTTTGATATTATGATTCACTGTATTATGTGAATTCAGAATATGACTTAATTCAGCAACCAAGTGAAGTTATTATATGAATCCAGCCTTTGTATAGCATTAATAATCACTATATGAACATCAATTAAAATGTTTCTTATATTTTCACTATATTGACCCATGATGCTTTGTTGGGCTGCACAAGTGAACTCATTACAAAGGCAGCAATAAAAAAGAGCCTCTCTCCTCTTCCTCAAATATCAGTGAGATATGCCATTTATTAACTCAGAAAACAAGGAATGTGAGTCTCTTCAGATGCTTGAAAAGGCACAATCAACACTGAACTGAATCAAGAAGATATTGAAGTAAGCTGTTTCAATATGGAAACTATAAGCCTGGTTTCCAGCTCCAATCAAGCAATCTGAAATGTCAAAATATGTTTCTTTTAGAATGTTTTCTAGCCTGTTATTTAAATACAAAAACAAAACAAAAATATAAAAACGTAAGTTATGAAATAATAAAAAAGAACCAAACAAAAACAAATGGAAAAACGGTAAAAAAATATAGTTAGGGATTACTTACTTGGAAGTTATACTGTTACCTTCACATTGGACCCTGGCTGATGATAGTAATAGATCTGTTTGCCAATATTACTGTATAACTCTTAAAAAAACATTATTTAATGATCTAAGTTTGCCTGTTGTGTAATATATGATAAATGAGAAAGTCATTCTTGCTTGAATTTGGAGGATGTACTTTTTATTTGCAAGATTACAGTCCTGCTTAGCTGTTCTTACTATTGTTTTTTGAGATCAACCTAGATTAGCTAGATTCTTCAATACAAAATAAAACTTTGTAGAAGACAATAAACTAATGACTGAGGAATCAAAGTATCAAACACCCCTCAGCATGTCTTTCTGGAACTCCCTTTCCAGGAAGTATATTTTGAGTGCTTTTGAATAGAAAAAGAGGATAGTAATATGTTAATGGAATGAATAAGCTAATACTGATAAACTCCACTCTGCCCAGAATATCCCGAAGTTTCAATATCCCAAAGGTGCTTTTTTCAAGAAGCAACAGAGCTTTCTTTGTTTTTACTTGAAGATGTTTTGCTTCTCATTCAAAGAAGTTTCTGAAGAACTGAAGAAGCTTCTTGGATGAGAAGTGAAACATCTTCAAGGAAAAACAAGTTGCCTCTTTAAAAAAGCACTTTTGGGACAACCATGACCTGGATCATTGAAAATCTCTATAGGTATAGTCTTCAATAGATCTGTCGCCTTAAAATCTTTTTAAATGACTCTTACAGTTAACCCAGATTGCACTGCCAAAAGTTCAATGACAAACCACCAACATTTAGTCACTTAATTAGGTTTTTTAAAGAAAGAAAATAAGAAACATGTTAACTCTTCAATAGAGCATATTACTTAAAAAGGTTCTCCTACAGCCAAAAATAAAAACCCAGTACGAACAATTGTGCTGATATGACAATATCATCTCACATCATCAGGGATCCTCAAAGACTATTTTTAAAAAATGTGTCTGCCAATTTAAAGTAATATTGCCTATTTTTGGAAAGCCAGAAAGAGGGTTAGTGAGTTACAGAGCCATGCTGCATTTGGTTATACTAGACAAATGATTCCATAATTTGCCTAAACTATAGTTTATTGAATTAATCCAATTATGTATGTTCAGACAAATCACAATTATGTTCAGTCGGCCAAAAACAAACCATACCAAAATATTGAAATATGTGTGCACATTAATACATCATATAATTAATTTGCCAACTGTATTATAGCCTAGTTTATTATGCAAACATAACTCATGACAGTTCATCCAATATCTGAGGTTAGGAAACTAGGTTCTGAACTATGTAAAAAGCACTTTTGAGTTTTAGATCTAAAGAGTTACCAATGTACAAAATGCAGAATTGAATCAAAGCTATTATAGTTTGGGATTTTATTAATTTATATAATTGTACATAAATATTAATCAAATATTAAAAGATATCCAACAAACTTATTTACTTAATTGAAAGGATTATTATGTAAAGTAAAAATCTCCCCATCTAACATTTGTTTATTCTTTTCCTATGTGGTAATGAGATTTGGTTAAAATGAACTTTACTAAAATGAACTCATGCCAACTATTACCTAGGTGGCATTGTAAGTTGCTAAAATTTGCTGAATATGTTTCCAATAGTTATATCATGAAGAATATTTTTCCCCATTTAACAGTGTTTGCCTTCTGCTATGATCACAGCAACTTTCATGTTGGTTTATGGCCCCTGACAAAGCCAGGATTGCTATTAATATTGTGAGGAGTCTCTCTCTCTCTCTCTCCCCCTCCCCATCCCTCCCTCATATGACTGCCATACATATTTTTGTTGTTAATTTTCTCCTTCCTCCACCTCCAAGTGGCAACTGAATCTGGACAATGCTTTGTGAATTTCATAAATGGAGTCTATAATTGTCTTTGAGATAAATGTGTTATTCCTTAGTGTACAAGATTCCTGAATTTAGTTCTAATGCATTATTTCCCTAATTGTCACATACAGGTAGTTGATTTACAACCACAATTGAGCCCAAAATTTCTGTTACTAAGTGAGACATTTGTTAAGTGAGTTTTGTCCCATTTTATAACTTTTCCTGCCTCAGTTGTTAAGTGAATCACTGAAGTTGATGTTAGTAACCCGGTTAATTGACTTTTGCTTGTCAGAAGATCCCAAAGGAGATCACATGATTTTGGGACTCTGCAACTGTCATAAATATGAAGTTGCCAAGATCTGAATTTGATTACATGATCATGGGGATTCTGCAACACTCATACGTGTAAAAAGACAGCCATAAGTCACTTTTTTCAGTGCTATTGTAACTTTGAACGGTCACTAAATGAACTGTTGTATGTTGAGGACTCCCTGTACTGCATTCTCCCCTTTTCAGAACAAGTGTAACCAAGTGAAGGGACATGTGAACAGTCTTTATAATGATATTCTGGGACAACAGCAGGTAAAGCTAATTGAACACTTAACTCTTACCAAATACAGTAATACATTCATTCTTAAAGTGTTCAGTAGAAGTTTTAGAAGTTATTTAATCTGATAATTTACAGAAGAGCATGCTCTTGCCACGCTGGTTGGGAATTATAGAAATTGTAGTTAAAGATATTCATAAAGCACCAGATGATGAGGGGAGGCATTCTGTAATGAAATCCTCAGCAATAATGCTGTCTAATAATTAGTCCAGGAGTCAGATCCGCATTCAAGAAAATATGGAAAAAAATTAATAACTTGCTCCGTAATGTTCTGGTCAAGCTAAAGCAATACTTGCTCTCAGAGGCAGCCGAGTCTTCAGCTCCAGACATAATTATAGCACTGCAATCTTTGCTTTGAACTCGGTGTTGTTTCCGAGTAAATATGTATAGAATCAAGCAGCATAAAAAGAGCTTCCCTTTTCGCAGCAAATTCCCAAGTTTCCGGTAAATTAAGGGATGCTAACGTGCAGATCAATTAATTGCTTCAATTAACAGTTCAAGACCTATGTCAAACAATTTGGGTACCTCGCAAGAAAACCAAAAGGTACATGCCACACAGTACCGGCTATTTTTTTTTTTAAGCTTTAGTGTAGCAGGAGTGATTATTTTAATTAACGTTAGAGGCCACCGTTTCAGAAAACAGAAGCCCAAACAAATCGAACTAAGCCACAATTGCCGTACAACATGGCAGCGCCCTGAAGCGCTTGTATGACAATACACTTGTACGTTCCGCTCTGAAGGGGAGCCCGGAAGTCTTGCTGTGTCAACGAAGAGGTTTTTTTTGCCTTTCGCTACTGAAACAGGTAATGTACACGTGAGCGCTTTTTATTGATAAAGGCGCTGTCGGAGGAGGATGGGAATAATTATTAGTTTGAGGACTGTAGGCAAGATATGCTGGATGTATGATTTCTTTTTCTTTATGTATGGGTAGTCTCCCCACTTCCGGGATTGTGATTATAATGCAGTAATGTTTAGCAATTATTGGATCTTTTTGCCTTCTGCTTGAAGCCTTTTTCTAAAGGTACTAATAGTATAAAGCTTCCAGATTCATAATGGACTTTAGTCTAGTGAAGTTTACAAGATGGAGAAACTGCTTTTTTGTAGAATCTCTCGCGGTGTTTCCCTGTTGATGAAAACAGGAACATTTTGTCATCCAAATATGTTATTACTAGCAGTCCTCTTTGCTTTGTTTCCCTAATGTGGCTCACTTCACAACAATGCTAGCTGGGGATAATGCAAATTGTTCAGTATGTTGGAGGCAGTAGTAGTTGGGGGAGGATTGTAGTCGCTCCCAGTGAAAAATCTTCATTATTACTGTCAATCTACTGGGTAAATGTATTTGACCATCTTTGTAAGGGAGAGTGTAGCAAGAACTGAACGCATAAAAGTAAAATTCTGCCTTTTATATAAATTTTAAAGTTCTAAATAACTTATATATCAAGGCTGAAAAGTGGTTGCAAAGATTACTGTGCTTTGTTTTACTTGTACATTTTTAATGTTTTGACATTTAAATGGGTCATCTCATGCCTCAATAATATTGTTGAAGATCAAAAAATCTTAATGATGAAGCATATTGATCAAATGTGGAGCAAATTTCTAAGAATAAATAAATATTTAGAAATATAAAAAAGCATGTCTTTATTGTTGTAATCTGCTGCATTCAATGATGGGAAGGGGAGGGGGACTATTCATTTTTTGCTCATTGAAACTGCACACAAATGGGAGCTGAAAAAAAAGTTTGCAAAGTGTGTTTATTACACTTGCCTTTCCTGTGAGACCATAAAAAGGAACATGTAAAGGTGTTGGTAATCTCTCATTCAGGCATTGACATAGCTCACACATTGTATACAAAATTTTGTTGCACATTTCAGTCCAAGATATGAATTTAAAACAAGATTTACTGACACCTTTGACTATGTGTCACAATTGCATCAAGCCCTATGTCAGTCTATATTTGTGTTGGGCTTGTAATTCCTAGAATTCTTACCAGCATGGATTGAAAGGTAGTGCTGTAAATAATGTCAGAAGCTGGGGTTGTTTGCAGTATGCCAGTTTTCTTCTTTATTTTTTTATTTATAGAGTTTTGAGAAAGCAGTTAGGTGTGGCAGAAAGCTTGATGAACGTTTCATTTCCTCTGTAATAAATCATATGCCATTTTCCTGGTATGAAGAAAAGCAATATTTTAGGGAACAGTCTGTATATTTTACTGTAGTTGTACTACTATAAATTTTAAGTTATTCTGTTTATATGTTAGTGCAGTTGAGGAATAAATCCACTGAAACAGAAAATGTGACCAGCAAGAAAATATTACTGCCTATCCTATCCCTTAACAAGACTGTTCTTTTTGAGAGTTTTGCTCCAATCTAATATTTCACATCGTATATTGAATTACATGTTCAATAATTTAGAGAGATCCCTCCATGAGTATGCTTGGCCATCCTGCTCCCAATTAAAAATCACAATATAGAAAAAAAATATATAAAGCACTGGTGTCCATGAACATGACTGACAATATAATGTCTTGTTTCCTCCCAGTGTGAGAACTGTTGCTTTATTTTTGTTCTTTCTTTTCTGTATTTTATTTGGCAAACAATCTAGATGAGAATCTTTTTCTCTTATTTTATAACTTCTAAATTTGCTTAGGAATTTTTAATGAGTTTTGTCAAAAGTATTCTGAAAGTCCAGTCATATTGGAGTTGAGATGACAGACTACATAGCTTGAAATAGTCTAATTTTATGAATTTCTTCTTTCTTCTGTACTTCTTCATAAATCAAAACAGTTCTGAAGAATTGAGAGTTTGCACACTCTCTGATATTTTATAATAAAAGTATTACCAATTAGGATTTTATAATGGGTATTAGTTTTTCTCCCATGGATTTATAAGATACAACTACTTATTGATATTAAATGGATTCATTTTACCATTTATGTGCATTGACCCTTTTGGAGATTATGAAATTTAGTCTTATACTTGGAAACTTTCAATATTGACTCTTCAAAAAAACTGGTCCTGGTACAGAGAACAAAAATGAGCTTGGAAAAACTGCGGAAACCATTACAAAAACATATGTTAAGACCAGGAAATGGGAAAAAATATTAGAAAGAAATCCAGACTGACTTTGCTTTAATTTGCTGTGGTGTAAGAGGAAAGGAAGGGAAAATATAGTCAGGCTTTCAAGACAGAGCCTATAGTACAGTGGACTAAAGCACTGTTATTAACATCTGTTGCTTGCAATTACTGCAAGTTCAAATCTCACCAGGCTCAAGGTTGACTCGGCCTTCCATCCTTTCAAAGGTAGGTAAAATGAGGACCTAAGTTGTGGGGGCAATAAGCTGACTTTGTATAAATATACAAAAGTATGAAGGCTGTTGCTTAACGCATTGTAAGCTGCCCTGAGTCTCTGGAGAAGGGTGGCATATAAATTAAAGCAAAAAAAAATAAAAATACTACAGCCTATATCACTAAAATAGAGTTCCTGTCGTTCTTTTGGAGTCTATTTCCTGACCTGGCCTACCTCAAAGGGCTGATATCTAAGCACTGGAAAATGTTATATTAATCATACTTTGTATAATTTGTACAGAACTGAAATTAATTAGATATAATTTCCTGAATCCCAGCAGGTTTTTATTTTAAGAAGGATAACTACATTGGCCTCATTCTCCTTCCCTGGGGCTGGAGTGAATTTTAAAGAAAACTTACAAAGCATTGTTTAAGATTTCACATTTCTATATTCTTGGTGAACACTAGTTATTTTTTAATTCACTTACTCATATTCTCTGCCTGAAAATGTTAATCACACACTGCTTACCTACCGTACAATTTCTGAAGTGCAAAGAATTCATTAGGACTATTTGTTTATAATTATATATTTATTTTTATCCTGCCTTTATTATTTTTATAAATAACTCAAGGCAGCAAACACACACAATGCTCCTTCCTCCTCCTATTTTCCCCACAATAACACTCATCTTCATCAGGGGTGTCAAACTCAAGGCCCGGGGGCCTGATCCAGGTCATGGAGTGCTTAGATTTGGCCCCTGGGGCTGCCCTGGAAACAGCAAAGGATCAGCCCATACTGCCTTTGCCAGCGAAAATGGAGTTCGGGAGGGCAGTGTGTGGCCTGCTGGAGCTCCATTTTCTCTGGCAGGGGGTTACAGGAGGCCATTGTAGCCAAAAATGGAGCTCGGGAGCACATTTTCTCTGGTAGAATGCTTGGGCCACCACAGTCACCCCAACACGAGTGATGTCAAGCTGGCCATGCGCCCCCAGCCCTTCAAAGTCAAACACAACTCTGATGTGGCCCTCAATGAAATCAAGTTTGACACCCTGAACTTCATCTTCTTTATAATCTCCTTATCTTTCTTTAGTATTATAAGGATTAAAGCTGATGAGAGGAAGCATAGAAAATGCTTTCAAAAGTTTAAAAAGACCAAGCAAATATCCTTTAACTTAGAAAGGTGAGAAGAAAAAGTCTCCAATTTAAATCTCTGTATATTGGCTTAGACTGAAGGAAGTAGAATCTTGTATATATGGTGGGGTTTTTTTGTCCGTAATAAAACAACTATTCTAGCTGTGTTGTGTCTGTGGACTACCAGTGTATCCTAGTCCATAGGTCTGTCCTTCTGATTGGTGAAGGCCTCCCAAGGAGATTATATGTGATTGTATCCCTATGGGGATAAATGTTTTCTTGAGGGACAGGGTGGTTTTGCCACCTCTGAAAGAAGCAGTGATCTGGCCCCTCTTAAGAAGCCATTATAGATACAACAGATTTGGACAATTTGTGTCCAATTCCCAACCTCTCTGTTGTTGAAACGGTTGTTACAGATAGATTCTGGGACAGAATGGCAATTGGGACCAGAATTTTGTTACTAAATGATGCAGTGGTAAAATGCAGTGCCATGTGACCACATCATTTCGTGATGGCAATCCCAGCAGTTCCTGTTGCTGTCATTAAATGAGGATTGTAGGTCATTAACTGAGGACCTCATGTGACCATGACTTGCGACTTCCTGCTGCTTCCAACAAAGTCAGTGGGGAAGTGTACTTGGGGGGAAAACCTTGGGAGTCAGGGAAAAGAGATGCCGCTTAGGGAATGGTCAAATAAGAGAAGGTTTGCAGCTGGTTAATGGGGCAAGAGGCTCAGCAGTGACCTTTTCAAGTTTCTTGAGCTATAAAGGAGACAGTGGGAAGCTTGTACTTTCAGACTTGCAAGTTTCTTTTAATGTAACCTTACAATAAAGTAGAATTAGCTCATCTGGTTGTGTTTTGTGTCTGGTCTACCTGGTAAGGCTGACAGGAAGATGTCAGGAAGTGCAAGTCCTGGATCTGACAGTCCTTTCCTTAAGTGGTTGTATTTTTCTTCTGAATGCTTGAATCTCCCCCCCCTTTCCCCCTCATTTGGGCAAGATATTTCTTAAAGAAATCTTTCCTCTGTGAGCTTTTTGACATTGCATAGTAACTATGACTGGGGCTTAATTAATGAGCAATTTACAGCATATGGTTTCATTTTGGAGTGAAGTGCCTTCTGTTTCAGATTCCTTCTAAACCATTTTTGGAAAAACAAAACAAAACTTCCTGTGAAGTTAAATGGGGATTCTGTTAGACTACTTTGGCAATTTTACATCTTCATATACATTAGATTGAATACTTTTACTACTACTATTTCCAGTCAATTTGGTAACACTCCTATTTTACATTAGATCCTGAGTAGCATTGATAATTAGGGCCTAAGTGGCTTCGCTCTGTTCACTTCCTTCACCAATATTTCTAAGACACATTTAAATTACCACTTTGATATCATCTGAATATGCATTTCTTCAAATTCTGTGTGGCATTTGAAGCCCTATCTGATGGAGATCAATTTATAAATTAATCTTTCATTAATGTATTTCTGAATACATACATTAACATACATAATGTATGTATTCAGAAATGTCCCAATGTTTGAATCCACACCTGATAATTTATTAATGTTGCTTGTTTAGTTTGGCTTAATTTATTGAATAAAACATAGTTTAGCATAACATAGACAAAAACGTAGGAGAACTTGGTGAGTGGGTTCGTCAGGCTTACTAATTTTTCTCCACAATTGTGCTTTATATTTTAATCAGTGTTATTCCATGTTGCTAGATCACTGCACATTACCATTTTTGCAAATATGGAGTAGAAAGGAAGATGAAAAGATGCCCAGACCAACAGCAGTCACTGTTACTGTGGCTACCCTATTTGGCATTGCAGCAGGAGGTCTCGCTGTGTGGAGGGTCATCCAACATCGAAAACATAAAACTTGCATTACACCAAACCAAGGAGGAAATATTAAGGAACGGGAAAAGAAAGATATCTCAGAAGACATATTTCGTTCATTTTTACCTTCTCCCACAATTTGTTGGCTGGAGGAGATCCTTGAGGCAAAAGTAATAATCGTTTCTGAGGTAGAGAAGTGGAATGAAGTGGAACCTATATTAAGGAAAGAGTTGGAATGTTGCCCAGTCCTTGGAATTGACTGTGAGTGGGTAAGTCTTAGAGTCTATTGAAAAATTTCTTTCATAAGCTAAAGAGAGAGGTTATTAATACATTTCTTTACACAAGCTTTATAAGCTAAGACTGAGAGCTGGCTTGGATACCATAGTCTATTTGAGCAGCTTTTACATATTGCTTTTAGTCTTGTCCTAATGGTTTATTTTTAGTATGCTAGTAGTTTCTGTATCTTCTTCCCATAGAGTTCAAGAGGTTTATATGTGCTACTTACCTCTTGTTCAGAGCGCCTGTATAATATACTAATTATTCCTCTGATACGTAGGCTATTCTCACAAGCCTTCCTTCCTTCCTTCCTCCCTCCCTCCCTCCCTCCCTCCCTTTCTGAAAGGATGGAGGTAGAGTAAGTTAAATAGGTAATTGAAATGGGTAAGAAAAGAAAAAGGAGTTACCAACTGGATGGAAATGAGGCAAAGGGAGAAAATAATTGGAGATGGAAAGAGAGACAGAAAAAAAAGAAGCTCTGAATAAGCTACACAAAAGGTTAAAAGGCATCAAGTGACCACTTCTTTCCCAGTTACTGGCCATAGGCTAAACTTCACAGGCATGCATACTGTCCTTCTGCCTACTTGCTGCTTTTCTAATCTATTTTCTATTACTGATGTAAGATGATTTCTCTCCTACTTGCTATTTTGGTGGGAAAACTCACCATCTATTAGATAAATCTGATATAATTTACCAACTGAAAAATTTATTCCATACCCAAGTTAAATAATATTTGGCTTTGCAATCCTCCTTCCCCAATAAAATTACCACCATTGGCCAGGATTTTCAACACAATTGGGAACTGCTAGATCTTGTTCTGAAATACATAGACCTGATAATCTTGGTTTATGTCTGGTATCACAATCCGGAGATGAGAGTCTTTCTGAGATTCTACAGGATGAACAACTCATTATCTACATTCTACAACCAGCAGAAGGGTTTCTGGATTACATAGTAAATATTCAACAGATTTGGGCATCAGGATCAGCCTGTATACTTGGTATTACTAAAAATACATAGAGTTGTTTGTGGATTTGACATAGTCTAAGTTGCCCAGTTGCTTTTCTTGCCATCACTCTTTTCTTCTGAATTACTTGTAGGTCTCAGTGGAAGGAAAAAAGGCCAAGCCTGTTTCTCTCTTACAATTGGCTGCTTGTAATGGACTTTGCCTCATTCTTCGTTTGCCCCAGCTGACCAGTGGGGGACAAGTTCTTCCAAAGACTTTGCTTGAAGTTCTGGCAGATGGCAAAATCCTAAAAGTTGGGGTAGGATGTTGGGAAGATGCCAGTAAGTTATTTCATGGCTATAGCGTAACTGTCAAAGGGACTGTGGACCTCCGCTATCTGGCCCTAAGACATAGGTATGTATCTTTGAGAGGGCAGGTACTGCGTAACCTTGATTTAATAGACCATTTGTGGTGGAAGTGTGGGCTGTTTCTGAATGATAATAATACTGCAACCATTGGGGCATAGCGTCATTTTTATGCAGATTATGTAACAAATTATATCATTTATATCACTTAACGTTTGCTCAAACAATATAATTTCATGAGAATGACTTAATCTACATAGGGTATTATCATGCAAATTATGTAAATAACAGTGAATGAGGGAAATACAATTGAATTTTTTGGTTTGGTATTTTAAAAGTCCCTCATCCACAGATACAATGGATATGTCTCTTATGGTAGGGTGTTCAGATGAAAATTTTGTCCATCAAATCCAAAAATCTGTTGAATTGAGGTTTCTCCATAATTGTGTTTTCTTAGGTTCCTAACATTTTGTTATCTGAGGTTATAATTTAACATAATTTTAGGGCTTTTCATTCTCTAGAATATTAAATGCAGTAAGTATGGAGTGTTGGCAATGTTTCATTGTTAACTGTACTTTATTTATTTTAAATTTTGAGATACATGTAGGCCCTGTTTATACAATATGTTTTACCCAATCAGTTATTCACCTAGTCACATCTATCTGTTGCTAGTTTGTCAGCACACAATTATACTCATATGTCAAAAATCTTCATTTTGGGGAATACAGTATACCTGTTGATTTTCTCCAGGAGTCCTTGGTGTCACAAGGGTCCCTTTTCCCAAAACGATATTAGCAAGTCTTCATTATGTTACCAGCCCTTTCCACATTGATTAGAAAAGGGAAAGAAAAGCAGCTGTGCTGAAAACTAGAAATTCACATGAATTTACAGCTCTCACTCATTCTAGCTACCTTTCTTTGCTGGCCCCCTGCTTTCCTGGCCCCCTAATTGCCCACCTTAAAAACCCACTTGATCCCACTTGTGCCCCTGTTAAGCATGCTGTACAAACATAAAATTTTCTCCCATTGTTAAGTAAATGGTTGCAATTATAAAAATAACTCAAGAAAAAGTTAACCTGCTGCTCCTAATTTAAACATCAAACCCCCAATTAACAGACAGACAGACAGACAGACACAAATAATGATGATTTGGTTCCTAAGCATTTGTTTGATGGGATAAAGGACATTTTTTTCCTCCTATGTACAACCCTGAAGTAAGACCTTCTCCACAAATGGGCTCAGCCTGAAATCTCTTGCCGAAAAGCTTCTCCAATATTCACTTGACAAATCTCTACACTTGTGCTGCAGCAATTGGGAAGCGGAACAATTAACTCAAGAACAGGTTTGTTTTCTTTGTAAGCATTATAGTAGCAGCTTTCAATGAAGGTAACTCATGATTATTATCTGGTGGTTCATTTTGGCAGTCAGACCCCTCTTTTCTCCCAATGGAAGGAGCGGTAGGAAGACAGGTTTTCAAAAATGGGGAACTTTTGAACATAGGAAATGACTTGAAATCCTTAGTTAAAATTATTATAGCTCTTTTCTGTTTTAGGGTTGGGTGGACCAAGAATTAATTCGATGACATGGCGACTTTACTGAAAGCTTAATCAGTTGCTTTTGGTTTATTTCAGGTTTTAAAAGTGCTCTTCCACTTCCATTCTCGTCCTTAATTCCTCCCCCCAAAACAAAACATGGGCTGAAATTGGGCTCCCACTCCCAATTTTGGTGGTGGTGGGGGACAACAACTACTGCTGTATCCATGTTGCTGCCAGATTCCTGTGAAGAGATCTTGAAGAGCAAATGTGGATTGTCATGCATATATTCTGGTCTCATTGAACATGGGCATTGACATCTTTTTGGGATGCTTCTAAGTAGAATAAAGAGGCTTTTCCTCATGATGTGTCTTCTGTGAGGCAGCACAAAAGTCTTCTGGTGGATTTTTTGATGCTCTTATGGCTTACCTCTGTTCTGTCACAGTAACAAGGCAAGAAACTGAGACTTTCCTCACATGATTAGTGTGGGGCAACTTAGGAGAAATGCTTGATGGATTCTCCGACATCAGTTGCTATTGAGAAAAACAACCACCAATCCCCCTCCCTTAGGAAGAAGACTGTCAGCTTCTCAAGTAGACCAGACAGGAAACAGAAAAAAGACAGATTTTGATAGATGGCTAGATCATCTGCCAGAAACTCACTAATCTGTAGACAGGCATGTGCATACGGGTCTATCCAGTGGTGAAATCTAAAATTTGTTACTACCGGTTCTGTGGGCGTGGCTTGGTGGTGGGGGTAATGTGACTGGGTGGGCGTGGCCAATTTTTTTAAAAAAACTTTTAAAACCATGTAAAAAAATGCTTTCAAAAGGCTCTGATGATCCCAGCTGAGTTGCCTGATCGTCAGAGACTTCCTTTCTTTTAAATGCCTCTGCCGATCAGGCAACTCAGCTTGGATCATCAGAGGCTTTTAAAAGAAAAAAAAGCCTCTGCTGATCAGGCAACTCATCTTGGATCGTCAAACTCAACTTGACGATCAGTCAACTCAGCTTGGATCATCAGAGGCATTTATTCCTCTGACGATCCAAGCTGAGCTATGCAATCATCAGAGGTTTTTTTAAAAATGATCGCGTGGCTCAGCTGGGCATGGGGGGGGCCAGGGATTTTTGCTATCGGTTCTCCGAACCACCCACCTCCATTGCTACCAGATCAGGCGATCTGGTCCGAACCGGGAGCATTTCACCCCTGGTTCTACCTGGAAAATCAGGCAATCTATATATTTTTGTGGTGAGTTTTGTGCCAGGAAAAGAGTAGAACATTGCTTCTAAACTGCAGCAGCTAAATTCAGATGTACACTGTACCTTCAGTAGTCTGGGAATGAAATAAAAGTAACATTACCCGGAATCCCTCTTAAGGGAGATGAGCGATCTAGAAATGTGACAAATAAATAAATAAGCATCAGGAGGGCTTGGCCTAAAAAGATGGATAGTGAGGTCATTTTGGTCTATGGTTAGCAGCATAAGAAAGAACTTTTTTATTTTACCAACTATTGTTCATTCCGTTTGTTGTTGGGGAGAATTCACCTTGGGTTTTTGAGATGCTGATGTTAAGGCATGCCTCTTGGTTTTCTTTCTCAGATTGATTATGCTGCCCGAGATGCACAGGTGTCAGTGGCTTTGTTCCTCTACCTGGTGAATCTTCCTTACCCCCCTTGGGCATCAGGTGACAGACATGTTCCTTCTGCTTGGGAAAAGGTTCTGAGGAAATGTCAGGGTTTGGTGGATGTGCCCTTCAGGGGAAAAAACAATAGCTTTGGTGATGATGAAAACCTGGGAAATGTGGAACAAAGCCCACAGTATCAGAAACTTCCATCTTTCCCAATCAACCAGCAGGGGAAGGATCCTCGGAAGCACAAAAGGAAGCCTCTGGGTGTAGGATATTCTGCCAGGTAAATGTTCCTTGTGTAACTTTTTTATCAAAATGTCCAAGATTTTCCTCTCTCCTTTCAGCATAGTTTTGATTGCTGGCCAATCTTTTTTGTTTTTGTGCTTTTTAACTTTTTATATCTAATTTTATTTTGTGGTATTTTATGCCTTTTAATTTCTTGCACCTTATCCTCCTTATGCTGGTCTTTGACTTTAATAAAAATTAGATTAGAATAGATTAAATCTCTTCCGCCCCCAATCTTTAAACATTTTATTACATAGATTAAATATTTTGTGAAGATTCCCCATTGAAAATGCATGCCTAAACTCAAAGATTATGCATATAGTGCTTTAGAGACTATTTCCCTCTTCTTGGCCAAATGCTACATGAATTTAGAGTTGGTTTTCTGCTCTGTGGGATATCAGAGGATCGTGATTAGGGTTCCTTGAGTGTAGATGTGATAGTGAACTCTAATGGGAGTTAATTTGTTTACTCTAAATGATTAGGCAGACATTTCCTCTTATTGTTCAGTCTCTTATCAAGTGTGAAATGTTCATCTAATCTACTGCATTGGTTCTGTGGGAGTTAATATATATATATATATACTTCTTTTCCCTCAGACCAGGGCTGATAGAGAGTGACGCCCAAAGTCGCCCAGCTGGCTTTCATGCTTAAGGACTACAAGCGGGTACCCCAGCTCCTAGTCCTTAACCTTAACCTTAACCATTGCACAGCACTGGCTTTCACTGAATTATATGCCTTTATTTAAAAATTCTGTGGATCTTACTCTCTATAAAATGTGCACAGTTTTAAGACTTTACTTGCGAGTATGTTGAGTTAAAATCAATGGTAAATGCAATGGAATAACATTGAGGAGGTAGTTATTTAATGTTTTTAACAGAGGTACAGGTAGTCCTCGACTTACAGCAGTTTGTTTAGTGACCACTCAAAGTTACAGTGGCACTGAAAAAAATGACTTATGACCATTGTTCATATTTATGGCCTTTGCAGCATCCCATGGTCACATGATCAGAATTCAGATGCCTGGCGACTGACTCCTATTTATGATCCGTTGCAGTGTCCCAAGGTGATGTGATCGCCTTTTGCAAAGCCAAGTCAATGGGGAAGCCAGTATCAGTTAACGTTCATGTTAATAATTTTAACAACTGCAGTGATTCGCTTAACAAGTGTGGCAGGAAAGATTGTAAAAAGGGGCAAAATTCACTTAATAAATGTTTTGCTCAGCAATGGAAATTTTGGGCTCAATTGTGTTTGTAAGTGGACAACTACCTGTACTCAGTAAAAAGAAGCATTTATTATGGCCACTAAAAATCTGAGGTTCTTATCTGATAGTGATTCTTTTGTTTACACAGGAAATCTCCCTTGTATGATAATTGCTTCTTGCATGCTCCAGATGGGCAGCCTTTATGTACATGTGATCGCAAGAAAGCCCAGTGGTATCTTGACAAAGGCATTGGAGGTTTGTGAATCTGTTCTTTTAGAGTCAAAAAGGCCTAAATACAAGCTTGGAAAGAAGTGAGCTTGCTTTTGTTATCAAGGTGTCCTAAAAAGCCATGTTGTAATCCAAAATCCATAATTGGATAATGCCTTTATTAATACTAACTAAATGACATCAAAAGTATGCTTCAGACACTTCAGGACTCTTCGTGAAGCAAGATAATAGAAAAATTAGAGGATGAGGAAACAAGAAGTCCAGAAATTAAGCTAGGTGGTCTAACTACATCATTTGCAGCTTAAAATAAGTCTCGAGATGTAAAAACAGGCTGTGTATGTGACTTCAAGCTGATGATTGCAAATATTAACACATACCGTGCTTTCTGGAACACAGAAATGTTGGTTCTTCATCCCCATTCTACGATGGCAAGGGCAAAGCACGTAGACTCCTGGCCAGGCTGATTAAAAAAAAAAACAAACTTTAAAAAGATTGATTCAGCCTTCCATCTTTCTGAGGTTGGTGAAATGAGAACCCAGATTGTTGGGGGCAATATGTTGATGTTATAAACCATTAAGAGAGTGCAGTAAAGCACTATGGGGCGGTATATAAGTCTAAGTGCTATTGCTATATTATATTAGGAGCACATTTGGGTATACCTATTTGATGGAATCAGGATGTTCATTCCATTTGTTTCATGGAGACTGAGGCTCTTTCTACTATTAATACCTGCCTTCTAGCCACATGACCCCTATGTTCTTCTACCTTTTTGTTTCCATTGCCTAAAATGGGATTTCTTATCTCAGTTCCGTTTGAAAAAAAGAGAGGAGAAACATGGGCAGCTGAATCATCCATAGACCTAAGGTTAAACAAAAGAGATAGGGCTACAAATTTGGAAGCTACCATGGAAAATTAGCAAATTTTACACATCATTTTGTACCTCAAAGCCTCTTATGTTTGTTTGTTTGTTTTAATTTGATTTATATGCCGCCCTTCTCTGGAGACTCAGGGTGGCTTACAATGTGCTAAGCAATAGCCTTCATCCTTTTGTATTTTTATACTAAGTCAGTTTATTGCCCCCACAATCTGGGTCCTCAATTTACCTACCTTAGAAAGGATGGAAGGCTGAGTCAACCTTGAGCCTGGCGAGATTCGAACCTGCAGTAATTGAAGGCAGCTGTTCTTAATAACAGGGTGCTTTAGACCACTGTACTACCAAGGTTCTTATGTTGAAGTTCAATTATATGTATTAATTTTTATTTATCCATTATTTAGAGCCGGAGAGGGGAGCCCCACTCCCCCCATGTTGCTGAACTAGAATTCTTAGTGCACTACCCTGCAGGCTAATGGGGAAAGACTTTGATATTGCAGATCAGCGACATCTGGAGGGTCACAGTCCTTGAGAGCATCAGAGAACAGGCGTTAATATTCTCTGGGGTTTTTTTTTGTGTGTTATTGTTATTTCAGAATTAGTAAACGCGGAGCCATTTACTGTGAGATTAAAGTTTGAGCCCTCTGGACGCCCTGAATCAACTGTGGATTATTACTTGACAGTCAAAGAAAATCTCTGTGTTGTGTGTGGCAAAAAAGAATCTTATATTCGGTGAGTTGTTCAGAAAGCAGTTCTGTCTGGCTGATCAAACTGCTGAAAGGTCTTAAGCTTCCTACCCCATTATGTTGTGTTTAAGAAATAAGAATAGCATTAAATCCAATGAACGTGTAGGGATGTCTTTGTAAACATATATAGATAAAGCTCTAAGTATTTCAGTGGCTGCAATATCAATTAATTTTTAATGTGCCATAAATAACCCAGATAATACAATATCAAGTTTTGTACATCTGAACTTCATAAGTATTAAAGTGTCAGAGGATGATGAGTATATTGCATATCAACAAAGTTTACATGTTCCACTAATGTTTATAAACTTATAAACTTCTCTTCACTTATTTTGGGATGCAAGAAGTGGCATAATTATTTGTAATTGTTTGCTTTTATCATTAACTGTCTGGAACACTTGTTTTTTTAGTGGAAAAAGGAAGTATAAATTAAACTGATAGATGAACAATGGAGTTCTTGGTGTACCCTGAGCTTGGTTGTTTACTTGTAGAAATTTCATTACCCAACCAATTAACATCATCTGTATAAATGAATGGGGTTTTACTGCCTATTAATATACAATTTACTTGCCAGTTTTGGTGGGGGTATAGTTTTCCCTTTGTTGGTTTCTTGATCAGAGTATTGTTTTCTGCCTAATTATTTAATCTGGTGCTTATCTAAATATGGACTGCTGGAGGGGATGTGTTGGAGTCTTTTGGTTTCCTTCCTAGAAGTTTTGTTTCTTTCGAATGGTGTGTAAATGTGGGTTATTAATTTATAAGTATGGTTTATATGTCTAATAAATGGCTAATTTAATGAATTCCAAGTTTACAGAAATTCCATAGCATTTTGTGATTTGGCTTGATCTAAGAATAATGGACACTATAGAAAACAATACATGAAGATAATGAACATTGTGAAACTATTTGTTTAATGGCTTTTACCCGTGTTTCCCTGAAAATTTTCTTTTGAGCTCCAAAATAAGCACTAGGGCTTATTTTTGGGGGGGTGTCTTATTTTTTTTTCTATGTATGGGAAGCCCACTTCTGCTTGCTCATGGTGGGGCAGGAGGCCATGTGGTACACCAATGCCGCTGACGCAAGGCAGGGAATGGAGCTGCTCATGTGCCCCACACCTGCTTACTTCAGGGCCCCCACAGCCAGGCCACCCACACCTTGACACTTGCCTTGCAGCGGTGGCTCTGGCAGCCCCGTCCAGCAGAACCCTGCATGGCCGCTGACTCATTTCTGTTTGCTCACAGCTGCAATGGAGCAGGAGGCCGAGCAACATGCCAGTGCCATGGCCATGAGGCGAGGCAGGGGGATAGAGCTCCCCCATGCACCCTGCACTAGCTTATCTCAGGGACTTAACGCTTAACACATTTTAAGCCATCCTGAGTCTCTGGAGAAGGGCGGCAGATAAATTAAAGCAAAAAAAAAAAAAAAAAGGACGTCGTACCCTCGCCTTGCAGCCACGGCACCACCACACCACTCAGCCTCCTGCTCCATTGCAGCCATGAGCAAGCAGAAGTGGGCCGCCGGCCATGTGGGTTCCTGTTGCACATGGCTGCTGTTGCTGTCACCATGAGGCAAGTGTTGGGGTGTAGACGGCCTGGCTGCGGGGGCCCTGAGGTAAAGAGCCTGGTGGCGCAGCAGACTAATAGCCTGTTATTATCATTCAGCTGCCTGCAATAACTGCTAGTTCGAATCTCCCCAGGCTCAAGGTTGACTCAGCCTTCCATCCTTTCTAAGGTAGGTAAATTGAGGACCCAGTTTGTGGGGGCAATAAGCTGACTTTGTATAAATATACAAAAGTATGAAGGCTATTGCTTAACGCGTAAGCCGCCCTGAGTCTCTGGAGAAGGGCGGCATATAAATCAAATTAAAAAATAAAACAAAAAAAAAACAAAACACATGCGGCGTGGGGCAGCTTCATGCCATTGCCAGGCCTTGTGGCTGCGGCACTGCGAGCAACCAGACAGAATTGGCAGGTGGCTGCGCAGGCTCTTATGTAGGGCTTATTTTGGGGGTAAAGCTTATATTAGGTGCATGTGTAAAAACATGCTAGGGCTTATTTTCAGGATAGGGCTTGTTTTCCGGGAAACGGTATTAAAAGCCAAGCTGATAATGGTACTCTCCAAACAAGCATGTTCCATAGCTACAGAGTAGTCATCAAAATTCTCCTGACTCATATTAATCTTTTAAACATATTCTTCCCTGCACTAATGTTGTGCCATCTAGGTTATAATAGATTATTTGTATGCTGTAGGTGTTGCACAGCACCCTACACTGTTTCACATTACCCCAGAACATTTACTATGATCTGGACCTCTAACATCCTATCTTCAGCTATATCAGTCTAGTTTGCAATTATGAAGCTGAGTTGGGGATAAGGCAGTGGTAATTTGGCCTGGGTCACCGAACTGTTAGCAACCACTAGCTGGCTGCGCCGCTGAACTGGTAGCCCAGTCACCGCTCACTTGCTCCGGCCGCCTGCCCGCCTGCCAGGATGCGGCTCTCAAAGAGGCAGCAACTGGGAGGCTTCTCGCAGTTGCATCGAAAAAGAAAAAGCCTCCCAGCTGCCGCCTCTTTGAGAGCCGCTAAGTGGTTGCGGAGGTTGGCTGTCGGCCACCGGAAACTACTGGAGGTTGCCGAAAAAGCCGCTGACATCGCGTCCCATTGCCTGCTGTGTCAGTCTGAGCGCAACACAGCAGGCAATGGGATGTGCATGCACGGCCGGCACGAAGAACAGGGTGGCGATGGCAGCGTTTTTTTCAGTGAAAAAAATGGTAGTTTTTGGCAGCCTGCGGCCAGCTGCCGCAGCCGTTTAGCAGCTCTCAAAGAGGGGGCAGCTGGGAGGCTTTTTCTTTTTTGATGAGACTGCGAGAAAACTCCCAGCCGCCACCTCTTTGAGAGCTGCTACCTGGCAGTGGCAGCTGGCTGGAGGCTGCCGAAAACTACCTGAGGTCAGCTTGTCTTCCAGACTCCGGACCAGCTGTCATGGGAGGAAAGTAAACAGCCCGAAGAAAGAGGCAGTGGTGGGGGAGGAAGCGGGACTGGGGCCGGGGCCGCTGAAGGAGGGGAAACAGGGCGACACGTGTGACTGACAAAGGGAGGGCGGGGCGGCATGCAGGAGGAGGCCTTTGATAGATTAGGCCAGGCCTGGGCAGAAAATAAGTAGATAGGTAGAAATTCAAAAAAATTTCCTACCTTTTTCTTTGGGTGTGGCTAGGTGGGATGGTCATGTGATTGAGTGGCCATGGCTGTGAGTGACGTCAAGTTGGCCATGCCCACATAGTCACATGATCACCAAGCCACGCCCACCAAGCAAGCCACGCCACAGAACCCATAAGTAAAAATTTTTGAAACCCACCACTGGGATAAGGATAGCTTGCTTTGTGTCAATTCATACATTTGTAGCTGTGAGGAGTTATGAACTGGAGACCTCAGCACACAGCAGAATAAAAATTTGTTTCTGTAAAAGGGGACTATCAAAATTTAAATAGGAAGTGAAAGAATCTATCAAGGAAGTTTGCTAGTTTAGTCCACCCTTTTTTAAACCATGATTTGCTTTGTAATAACTCACAAGTATTCATGTTTGCATCTGTGCCCTCCAAAGCTTTATTTAGTAATTAATGCAAATCACTTTGCTAACGAGAAACACAGAAACAAAATAGACCATTGTAAGGTCATTTGGCAACACCAGAATAACATGCTTCTGCCATTACACTAAAAGAAAAGCAATGTATCTCCCATCTTGTTCTAGCTAAAATAACTAAGGGAGCTAGAAACACTAAAAGCTGACAATAAAATATTCATGGTGACCCAACACAGGAAGATGAGTAGAGCAGTGTTTCTCAACCTTGCCCTTTTTATGATGCGTGGATCAAATGGACAAGGTTGAGAAACGCTAGAATAGAGTCTTAATTAACAAAACAGTGAAATCCTTTGAGAACCGTGAAGTGAGCCCTATTGAATTCAGTGGCGGCTGAAGAGAAGACCTGGTTGACCTCATGGTAGAAGAGTGGCTGCAGGCTCACTGGCACTATTGGTGATCCGTTCTCAACTGCTGCTGTTTCCTCAACAGAAAGAACATTGTACCTCACGAGTACCGGAAACACTTTCCCATCCAGATGAAAGACCACAATTCCCACGACGTGCTCCTTCTCTGCACCGCGTGTCATGCGCTCTCTAATTACTATGATAATCATCTCAAGCAACAACTGGCTGAAGAATTTGGCGCCCCTATTGGTTGCGAGGAGGGCGTTCGCTTGCTCGAAGATCCCACCCGCAGATTAGTCCGTTCGGCAGCTAGAGCGCTTGTGAATGCAGACAGCCTACCTGCTGCCAGGAAGGAAGAGCTGTTGCAGCTGATCAGAGATTACTTTGCATCTGACACGGTTTCCCCAGAGATGGTGCAGGAAGCAGCTGGACTGGAAACCAGGTACAGTGGTTTAGATTAAGGGTTGATTAGATTAAGATTTAGATTAAGATACATGATTATTGCCTGCTTGTTTGCAGTGTTTTCCAGGTTTCTGCTTCCAACGTTGGAGAGTGCTAGTGGTTTGGCTTGGGGAAATTTGTTCTAGGGTTTGACCTGTAGTAATGAGTGGAATTCCCAGGGAAAAGTGAGAAACTTAATTTGAGGTAATGAATAGGTTCAGACCATGAAGAAGATTAAAAAAGTCATCATGCTTTCCATAAGCTTCTTCTTGACTTCTCTTAGATCTTCAAACAGTAAAGTAATACCCACCTATCGTTCCATTTTAATAACTATTGACGAGAACAGTTGCAGTATGGCTAGCTCTAGCCAATGAGCCAAGTGGCTAAATCCCTTTCTGAAGGCATTCAGTTCCATTCTTCTTGCCATCTGATATTCCGGCACCCACAACTCACTTGGTTCTCATTGAGCTGCTTGGGGATTTCCCTTTGAGGAAATCCTTTCTTGGAAATTTTTGTTTATTTATTGCACTTCTGTAAATATTTGAGTTTCCATCTTCTTGACAATTCCCTCTCGTGTGGGAATCCTGCTGTTTAGCTATATAAAGAATCATGTTGGGACAAGCATGTTGCACTTCCAAGATTCCTGGTTGCTGTGACATCTGAAAGGTTCCAGATTAGAGGATGCTGTCCATCTTCATCTAACATCAGATTGATTTGCCATGGCCTTCCTAGTGGGAGGATGGCCTTTGGAAAATGGTCAGTGTTTTTATTAGTGTTGCTTTTCTCTTTCATTCTTCTTCCTCACCATTTAGTAAATGGGATTGATGTCTCTAATGTTCTCAAAACTATAAAGCCCATTTTGAAGTGATAGAACTATAAATAAATAATGAAATAAATGTAAATGTTTGGCATCTTTCAAGCCTGTGCTTTCCCAAACACCTCCTTTGTTCATCTGTTTTTCAGGATTTTTAATGAGAGCTATGTGCCACATGGCTTGAAAGTGGTTCAGTCTTTTGCTGAAGGGGGCTTATATTCTCTCATGGGGCTGGAGAAACGTTGGCGCCAGCACTTCTTGGATGTTATGCAGCCCAAGCATCTCCCAGCACAATGGTCTGTTGATCACAATCACGACAAGTTGATCAAGAAATACGGGGAGGCTCTCCAGATTGAACTTTCATGAAGATGAAATGGTGAAACTGGAAAATATAATGGAGACTTACTATTTTCCTTCCCCCTCATGTTGGAATTAACAAGATTCCACCCAGACAGTTACATTGCGAAGGAAATCTCACCAGCATTGCCAGTTAAAACTATTTTAAGCTAAAAAGTGGTTTTAAGTCTTTTTAATTGTTTTGAATTACAATTTAAATGTTTGTTTTATAAAGATCACCATAGCCATATCTTCTTAGGAAAGGCCTCTGCACATATGTGGACCACTTTTAGTTTTTCAGATGTGGCTTCTGAAGTGCAGTAGTACTACACTCACCGTTTGTCGTCATTGGCCATGGACACAGAAGACTGCATGAAACATTTGGAGGCTTTCAGGTTTCCATCCCTGTTTTATCTAAAGGTACCATTAAGAGGGAAGAAGAGCATCAGGTGTTTTTTTTAAAGAGAATTTATTTGTCTAACAGCAATTATATATCACTCAAAGCCCATATTTAGCTATTAAAACTCATGTCAGACCTGTCCCAGCTTGGTCCTTTAGGAAAGAAACATTCTCAACTCCATTTGTAGCAAAAAGGTTACATTTACTAAAAGCCAAGTGATTACAGTTATGCGAAGCCAGAACTAAGAGTTTGTGTGCAAAGATTCCCTAGTTTTTTTGTTTTTTTTTTTAAATTTGATTTATATGCCGCCCTTCTCCGGAGACTCAGGGCGGCTTACAATGTGCTCAGCAATAGCCTTCATCCTTTTGTATATTTATACAAAGTCAGCTTATTGCCCCCACAACTGGGTCCTCAGTTTACCTACCTTAGAAAGGATGGAAGGCTGAGTCAACCTTGAGCCTTGGCGAGATTCGAACCTGCAGTAATTGCAGGCAGCTGGTCTTAATAACCAGCTTAGTAACAGGGTGCCTTAGACCACTGTACTACCAAGGCTCTTTGGTTTTGGAAAGTTTAGTTAACTTTCCCTTCTTGTGTCCCTTGTGTTTAGTTACATTTGAAGAAAATGTTTTGGTAACTAATCCCCACTAGATAGATGGATGTTACATTCCATCCCAAGACTGCAGTCTTGGATGACTCAGGACAGCACGAAGTTTACTTTCGATTTCCCCTTCCCTTGTCTTCCCCCAGCTCCCTTCCCCCAAAGCTCATGGCAGTCTGGCAACTAGTGAAGCACAGTTGTGAGCAAAGGATGGCAGCTCTGACAACTCACTGGGTAACTTTGAGGCAGTCCTTATCGCTCACCTCACCTACATGTGTGGCCCCAAGGATGAAGAACAAGGGAGCCAAAGGCTTGTTTCAATGTTTTATTGTTCACTGTGGTGGAAGTTTGCATTGTTTCAGTTCCATTCTGCTGGAATATAAAACACACACAATTTTTCAGTGGGATTATCCTAATGGTGTTATTTTTTTCTGAACTCAAAAAGTGTCCTTTTCCAATTTATCCATTTCCCTACATTGTGTGTCTCTGATCCTCTACAAAAGAACATTAAAACTTAAATTTGTGTTGGTGGTTGCTTCCGATAGGATCTTTACCAGTTGGATGAAAAAGTTAATTTTTACTGAGGTGCTGAATCTAACTGGGCATTTACCACCTTAAATTTTAAATAGATGCCAATATGATAGAATGTGATAACTGGGAGTATGTCTTTTGATATTATCTGGTACTCACTGAGCTTGTGGAAACTGACAAAGTGGCTAAGATTCCCTGTGGCATCAGTGCTGTGATTTATAAATTGGATTCATGCCCTCTTGACTGATTTGGTCTGTGAAGAAGACGGAAGTATTTGGATGCGAGAGGTGGTAATGGCTTCCTTGAGAGAACATCTGATGGTACTAGCCTTGAAAAAGGCAATCCAGCCTTATTTGACACTACTGCTGCTCTCTCTTCCAACGTCTCCCAACTTCAGAGGATCCTAGATGAAGCACATTATCCAGATCCCATTTACTCTGGATTCAGATCTGTCAGAGAAGAGACATAACATTGTGTCAAACTTTCAACAGGAGAATGCCAACTCTGCAAAAAAGATTCATGAATATCATTAGCTAAATTTACTTTGAAGAAAGTAAAGAGCTAATATAGAGAATCTTAGGAACCAAATAAACCCCAAATCTAGCATTTATTTATTACTGAATGTATTTGTTATTAGTGAATTCACTTGGGCAGAGTCTCTAATTTCTAAGAGCCACATGAATCTCTTGTTTCCGGAATGCCAGGGTGAAGGTCCTTCCCTTTCTTTCCCAGACCTGGAGAATTCACATCTAGTCACTTTGGTGGATGTTTTATTTCAAGGATAGGAATGCAAGAAGTATTCTTGTAGTGTAATACAGGTAATACATTCAGTAACTATCTTCATAATCTTTTGCAGTTGCGATAGTGATGAAAAAATAACTTTATTATCAATCTTAACATTTAGGACTTTCACAGGTGTGTAAAGCAAAGGAAAGGTGAAGTAAGATCATAAACATAGTTGCGGTTTCACTTAGTGACTACTTTTCTTAATGACCAGGCTACTGGTCCCAATTGTGGTTGCTAAACAAAGAACTACCTGTTCATCCTTTTTGGTCTTATTAGACTTTTCATGGTATCTCACTGGGCTACCTTACTGGGGATGGGAGTTGAAAGCACCGTTTTCTGGTAATTCTGTTCTTTCCTTAAGTGGATGGTTCTAGTCAATAATGGGCGGCGGGTGGGGGGAGGAAAATCAGGTTGATGGGTTAGGGAAGAGTCTAGGTTGGTGGGTTAGGGAAGAACCCTCACTCCATGGCTTGGTACCGGTCTGTGACCCGCTGGGAACTGGGCCACTGTCAGTCCACGGAGTTGGAAAGGTTGGGGACTGCTGGGTTAGGGGATGATGATGCTAGGACTCAGAAATGGGCCTTAGTACTGAGGAATATCCTTGCTCCCTGTTAGCACTTTTACAAGGCAGTCAAGACTATTTTTGGAACAGAAGTTTGGGTATTAGGTCTCTTAGCATTCAACAGATTGGGTGGATCTCTCTATTCTAAATGTACTGTTTTGTTGGGTTTTTTAAAAATTGGTTTTGATATTTAGTCTAAATTGTCATAAGTTAGGAAGATGGTATAAAAGTGCTTGTAATAAACAAATAATGAATAAATAAGTTAATTACCGAAGTTTGCATCTTTCATGCTCAGACACTAGCAGATAAATTAATATGGCAAGGAAAAACTTATAACAGGAACCCTTTGTTGGAGATCCAATTTTCTCTATGCTACTGGATTTTTAAAAATAGAATTGCTTTTGGTCATATAAGCCTCAATTTGTTATCTAATATTAATGCCTATTCATAGTTTAAACACCCAGGCCTCTCTTGAAGTGTTGATGCTGGCAAAAAAAGAAGAAGGAAAAGTTCAGTTGAAAATTATAATTGGATACATGGAAAACACAGAAATGCCTCTGTTCTTCACAAGCAGATATTCAGCTGCTGTCAAAAGCCCTGAGAAAAATGCCATCTGCAAGCAGTTGGGACAGATCATCTTGGAGGGTCATGACAATACTATAATGTGTTTTGTGAACCATCTAGCCTTTTCAAATACAAATTTAGTGCTTCTGGGTCTTGAAGCTTACCAGAATGGTACTGACCTCTGAACTGATGAAATGCTGTGTGAAATGTTTGATTTTTTTTCTTATGGAAGAGGAAAAAAAAATCCACAAAGAGGTTATTGGAGAAAGTTACTTTGTAGTGTGGGTGCAGAAGATGGTGGGAAGCGGTATAAATATACTATTCTCCATGCTCATAACACACTGTAAAGTCTAATGTAAATATCCTGCTTTTTTAAAAAATGTGCCACTACCGATTCATCATTTATATTTTTAAGTGTCTTAATGTTCTTTTTAAATTAAAGCTTTAAAAACTATACCCATACTGGTTTATTTTTTTTCCTTTTCACTGGATCCATTACTACCCAATTTGGACAAAAAGAAGCTTTTCGTGAGAACAGAAAGGACACTGCTACACGCGCAGCTGCTCTAGGTTTTTAGGATGGATAAAACTGTTTTACACAGAAGTATCTGCATGTACTACTTCATATATCTCTTCTCAAAGCCAAGAACAATAACATAGGTTCGTTCTCACCAAGACAATATTAGAAGCACATGATTTTTTTCCAGTTCCTCTGCTTATCTGAGTGTTGATTTTGGTTTGCCTCCAAAATTTGGTTTAATCTTGTTACTGAGTGTCCTATCAATGAACCACTAGATGGCAGAATCCTACAATAAATGCAAGGAAAAATTCAGACGTGAAAGGAAAAGAACATCTCTGGTCTTGGATAACAGAATTGGAAGGGGCCTTCTAGTTCAACCCACTGCTCAAGCAGAGACCCTATACTATTTCAGGCAAATGGCTGTCCAGTCTCTTCTTTAAAAACCTCCAGTGATGGTGCACCCACAACTTCTGAAGCCAAACCATTCCGATGGTTAATTGTTCTTATTGTTAGGAAAGTTCTCCTTAGTTCTAGGCTGCTTCTCTCCTTGGTTAGTTTCCATCCATTGTTTTTTGTCTTACCTTCTGGTGCTTTGGAAAATAGGTTGACTCCTCCTTTTTGTGGCATCCCCTCAGGTATTGGAACACTTATCATGTCTCCTGTAGTCCTTCTTTTCACTAGACTAGACGTAATCTAAGTAATTTTTTCTTTAAAACTTTTCTTTTTCTTCATCTGCCAGGCCAGACTCAATTATGCAGTCTTAATAAATATGAGATCTGACTGCTAAGTTGGTTGTATCTTCGAGACCACCTTCTGCCGCAAAGCTCCCAGCGACTGGTAAGATCCCACAGATTTGGCCTCCTCCGGGTCCCATCAGCTAAACAATGCTGGCTGGTGGGCCCGTGGGGGAGGGCCTTCTCTGTGGCTGCCCCAGCTCTCTGGAATTAGTTACCTCCTGAGGTCCGGACCATCCCCACCCTATTGGCCTTCCGAAAAGTGGTGAAGACCTGGCTTTTCCGGCAGGCCTGGGGCCGTTGATCTCGCTGTTGCGATCTGGCGAGATCCGGCCAATGAATGGCGTGAATGAGTTTTTAATGTTTTTAATGTTTTTAATTTTTAAATGTTTTTTTATAATGAATTTTTAAAATGTATTGTGAGCCGCCCTGAGTCTTCGCAGAGGAGCAGCATATAAATTGAATTAATTAAATTAAATTAAATTAAATGTGTGAGAGAAACTGCTCCAAGTATGTTTGGGGGGGGGGGCTTTTGAGGAGTGGGCAATGCCTTTCACCCTAAATTCTATCCTCTGAAGTCAAATAGTCCTCTCAGACAGATAGACTGACATTCCAATTTAATTGTCGAAGAATTTAGCTTTGGTCTTAAGGACTAGGAGTAAGAGGGGAAATGATTGTTCAGTGCAGGGACAGCAGAAAGCATGAGAAAGAGACTCAGAACAGCTCTGCCTTAATTGTGTCATATTTTAAAAATGGGTAAAAGTGATTCTTTATTTACCATTATAATCAGGACAAGAACTTCCCTCTCTAAGTGATGCAGTTGCTAAGTGGGTCACATTCAATTTTACAGTCTTTTTTGCTGTGGTTAAGTGAATCACATGGTCATTAAGGGAACCTGGCTTCCCCCATTGGCTTTGCTTGTCAGAAGCCCCTGGGATAATCATAAATGGTGATCATGTGATCTTGGGACTCTGCAACTATTGTAAATGCATGGCAGTTGCTAAGCTCCCAAAATTTGATGACATGACCATGGGGTCATGTCATCTGAGTACTGGTTGTAAGTCACTTTTTTAGTTGAGGCTTACCTGTACAGAATATGGGCGCAACTCGTTGTGCCCATGTGACACCTCTCCTGCATGAACTGCACTGGCTCTCAGTGGTCTTCCGGGTGCGATTCAAGGTGTTGGTCACCACCTTTAAAGCGCTCCATGGCTTAGGACCCAGGTACCTTCGAGACCGACTTCTGCCACCAGTAGCCTCCCACCGGCCAGTCTGCTCCCACAGAGAGGGGCTCCTCAGGGTACCATCGTCCAAGGTATGTCGGCTGGCGACACCCAGGGGGAGGGCCTTCTCTGTGGGAGCTCCTGCCCTGTGGAATGAACTGCCCCCGGAATTGCGCAAGATCTCTGACCTCCATGTATTTTGCTGTGCCCTCAAGACCCTGCTGTTCCGCCAGGCCAGGCTATCAATGTAAATGATTTTAAATTGGGTGTTTTAAATTTTTGGGTTTTAATTTGGGCCGAAATTATTTAATAATATTAATTATTTTTTAATTGATGTCTGTATATTTTTGTGTTTTTAATAGGCTGTACACCGCCCTGAGTCCTTCGGGAGAAGGGCGGTATAGAAATAAAATAATAATAATAATAATAATAATAATAATAATAATAATAATAATAATTTCAGAAAGTTTTTCCAAATTGTGTTACTGTGATTGTTTGATTGATTGATAGATAGATAGATTGATCAATCATATGTCATCAAATCAATGTCAACTCCTAGCAACCACACAGATAATTTTTCTCCAGGATGCTGTGTCGCCAGTCTTGTCCTTCAAGTCCAATGGTAGAACCTTTGACACTGTAACAGACTTTTACTGCTGGCCATCCTGTCTTTCTCTTTCCTTCCACTTTCCTAGCAATATAGATTTTTCCAGAGAATTAGGCCTTTGTGTAAGGTATCAAAACAAAACATGATTAATTTGAAACCTGGTCATTTTTGCCTCAAGTAAGAACTCAGGCACATTTGTTTGGGGTTCCATTTATTTGTTTTCTTCACTGTTCATTTACTCCACAGTAATACAGTAAGTAGCATTTCTAGAATCCCTGCAGTGCCTTGACCTGAGCTACCTCTCAATGCTAACATTAATGCCAATTGCCTTCTCCCCAGGTGTGCAGTGTTCTGCTGTCATCTTTTTGCACAATTGTGAGGTTCTACTTCTTATGGATGTAATCTTTCTGCAAAAGAGGAATGACTCACACAACTAGGCCAACATGTCAAAGAAGCATGAATTTAGCTTTAGGCTTGCCCATTCCAGGACTTTTTGCTGGTTCAAATTAAGCTTTCAATATCCTCATCAAATTGATTGCTTATCTGCTATTCATTTCTCCAAACAGTCTTGCTGTGTCCATCCTTTGCCAGCTCTTTTCTAATATGCAACTGGGCAATGTCAGCAGATTTTGTGTGTGTGTGTGTGTGTGTGTGTGTGTGTGTTTTACTGTTTCCATGATTCATAGCTATATATCTAGCTCTTTTTGTATCTCTTAGCTCTGCAAACTTGATCTGGCAATCCTGCCTACAGCTAACAGACTGAGAGTTCATTTTGTGCAAAGTGTATCAGATAGAGATTATTATCTTCCTAACGATTGCCAAGATTTGATGAGATTTTGATCTGAAAAAGGATCCCTTAGCGTCAGAGCTGGGTAGTTGTCTATTTCTGCAAATCCCTCTGACTGGCAAGTGTCCCTTTTCCACGTTTCAAGCAAGGCTGAGCTTCGTTATGCAGTTCTCACTGCTTCACTAGGAACATATGGCTTGAGTTTGAGAACAGTGAGGGGGGTCAGAAATTAATGGATTCCTTTATATAAATGCTTGAGAACTTTCCAAAAATCTCTCCTTCAGGAAATAAAGCCAAAACTTACTGAAACTCTCCTTTACCATAGAAGGCTTTATTTTTTAACATTTTTGTACGTCCATATCATGGTATTAGAAGAACTAAGATTTATTAAATTAGAATGACTGTTAAAGCTGAACACTGTTACTTTTTTTAAAAAGACCAGTGAACACTACCTAACATTAAAATGAAGGGGAAAAGCAATGGAGACTCCTACAATCTGATTTCTTTAGTTTTTGTTCTTAAAACATTTAAAAAGATGTTGTTATTGTTGTTTTGTTTCTTTTAAAATGTTAACATCTATTTATTTTCAAAGATCCCCAAATTAATGCTGATGCATAGTCACTCTAAGCATTTGTGCTACATAAAACTGTGTACAGTTTGTCAATTTGGTTTTATGTTAATTTTTGCCATTATTTTAAAGGTCTGAAAAAGATACCGTCAGTTTTATTGTATTGGGATGGGATGGGCCTTCTTTGGACATTGGGTGTTAGGATGGCCTGCTACATTCCCTTGCTGTTGCTTTGGATCATCAGAGGGCTTTTGCATTTGAAAGCAGTGTATCTGTATGCCTTTGAGTCAGTGTTGATTCCTGGGGATTGCCTGAACAAGTCCCTGTAGTTTTCTTGGCAAGATTTCTGAAGAGTTTTGCAATTGCCTCCTTCTTAGGACTGAGAGAGACTGAATGGCCCAAATGAATGAGTGAGTGAGTGGCTCACTTGCGACTAGAACTCACACTCGCCTGGTTTCTAGCATACCACACACCAAACTGACTCTCTAAAGCGAATGCAGCACTGAATCTGAATTCACTTTAATTTCAACAATAAAGACTTTTATATTTGGGTTTTTCACACAAATAAGAATGGATTAAATTACTGTTTACTTTTTCTGTTTTGCCCATATGCTGCAAAAAAAGGAGCATCTATTTCAAATGGTTGATGATGTTGAGTTGGGAAAATGGAATGAAAACCCTTTGAAAGAGATAGTTCCGAAATGATTTTTACCTGGGACCGAAGCAGCTATTAGAAAAGCATCCTGGAGGAAAGAATATCTCTTTTGACAACTAAAGTGTAATCCTTTCATAATCGGGAATTTTCCTTCCCAAGATGTCTTGTACAATTTATCATTATTACTTCAATTCCACTAACCACGTATCACAGCCAATGGCGGCTGCTTTTCCTCATCATGACTCAAGCCTCACAAAGGTAGCATCTACTTAAATATGGGATGCCAGTCAATGCTGTTAATTGTAACTGCGCTGTTGTAACTTGTTCCAAATTTAGCCAGAGTCCAATAACAATTGATGC